CCTTGCAGAGAAATAACTGAGGTCAATTTGTTCAGAACTTTTTCTGTGGGGTTTTCAGACATGTGGTTTATATATTTATGTACGTGTTTGCTTGGTACATTTATGAACATTTATTACATATCTAAGACCTTAAAACCTCGCCCAGCACCACAGGAAGGATCCACAGAGGTCTCCTGGGAAGGGTTTGGGAGGAGACTCAATGCACAGATTCCCCACTGAGCCTCTTAGGGCTCTTAGCCTCCAGGGATGTGGGCAGGTGGGGTTTGTATGGAGGGAAGAACTGGAGCCCCCTCTTGGAGCTGCCCCATTAGCTCTGTGGAAAAAGGACAGTGCAATGGGATCCGTGGGTTTGATTCCCACGCAGAGGAGATGCACCCGAGGTCTCAGCAAGGGGGCTGGACTAGATGACCCTTGCGGGTCCCTTCCCACTCCACGGTTCTATGATTCTAAGGCAGAGCCATTAAAGTTGTAAAAGCAGGTCTTTAAAAAACATTTCACAGATGGTGAAAATCAGCAGTAACTAAAAAGAAATAAAACATGTTAACTTCTAAAACCATGTTGAACTTTGTGGTCAACGTTAACAGAAGCAATTTGCCTTGAAGGAGAGGAGAGGGTTAAAAAAAGCGTTTCTCCTTTCTTGTATTTTTTTATTCCCTTCCGCTTTCCGTACTGAAGGGCGGGCCTTACTTGGCTATTTCTTTTCTCCACTGGCCAGTCTAGCTGTCGCTCCGTTAGGCGGCGGCGTACGATTGGCTGACCCGCCTTCGGCTTCGACTCATTGGGTAGACCGCGGATTGCCCTTATCTAGGGTCGGGCGAGCGGTCCTTCAGCCGGGGAGCGCCTTTGGAGAGCTCTGAATGGATGTTTTCCCTGCGGCTCATCTCTACCGCGCGTCTGATTGGGTTAATCGCGCCTGGGGGCCTTGAGCTCCGCCCCAGGGCTACGCCAGCCCGGCAGCGGCTTCCGGGAGCGAGGATGGCGGCCGAAGCGAGCGCCGTTGCAGCCATTGATGCGGCAGGTGCGAGGTTGGGGAGGGGAGGGGAGGGGACCCAGGTGTCCGGGAGGGGACCCAGGCGTCCGAGACCCATGTCGGCAGGGGAGGGGACCCAGGAGTCTGAGACCCATGTCGGTAGGGGCACAGGGACCCAGGTGTCCGGGCACCGGAGTCACTCCAGATTCGATCCGAATTTAGCAAGCCCCCTTGTGTTCAATGGGATTTACTCGCCTGTAAATCCTGTAAGGATCGCCTGGTTTGTAGGAAAATGTATTTTCTATCCCGCTTGAGTGAATGGGAGGTAGATTCAGTGGGGAGGGGCAGGCGCGGGAGGGTTTCGCTTTACACATAGCCCCAGCTGAACTGTGGAACCCACCGCCACAGGACCTGGTGGCAGCTGGCTGCAAAAAGAGCCGAATCAAATACCCAAACTCCACAGTAAGACGGACTGGAATCTGGAACCAGAATGTCAAAGGCTGTCTTTGCATGAGCTGTGCATGCCTTTGCAGGATTTGGAGGCTATTTGTTTTATTTTTATAAAATTCATAAAATTTATACACCACCTGAGTATAGAAGAAACCTCAGAGCAGTTTACAAAAAGAGGAAACAATAAAATCATCAAGGAAAAATTCACAACATTAATTAAAAACGTGTGGAAAGTTAAAATACCAAACCGGGTTAAAATTCACACCAGCTTTCTAAGCCTCTGCACAGGCTTCTCTAAACAGGAATGTATTTGGCAGGTACAGGGAAGGTGCCGGCTCAATATCAATAGGCAAGGAGTTCCAAAGGTTCCTCTGCCATTGGGAACTGAACCAAGGAGCTCTTTGCAGGCCGAATGTGCCCTTTACAAACCAGAGACGCCCTTCCCTCCCTTCCGTGTCTCTCCAGAGAAGGCGCGAGGGAAATATGCTGCTCTCTCCTTTGCCGCCATTGCCATCGTGGTGGGGCTTCCGCTCTGGTGGAAGACGACAGAGACCTACCGCGCTGCGCTGCCCTACTCGGAGATCGCTGAGCTGGACACCCTTCTGGTGAGGACACACCCTGCCTCTTCCCCTCCTCAGCACTGTGCTCCAAGGGTCCCCTGCAGAGCCGGAAACAGGCCCCTCGTAGAATCATAGAACTGTAGGGTCCCCCACAGGTCATCTAGTCCAGCCCCTTCAATGCAGGAATCTCAGCTAAAGAATCCCAGGCAGATGGCCTCTCTTTAAAAACCTTTCAAGGGAGTCCGTTCCGCTGCCAAACTGTCAGAAAGTTTGTCCTGATGTTTGGTTGGAATCTCCTTTCTCCTAACTTGAATCCGTTGGCTCAGGTCCTACTCTTTGGAGCAGTAGACAAGAGTGGAAATTCAGATATTTGAAGACAGCTCTCATATCACCTCTCAAAATCTGCTTATCTAGGCTGAACAGGTGGGGTCTGACCAAGGCAGAATAGAGCAAGACTAAGACTTCCCTTCATCTGGGCACTAGACTTCTCTTGATGCAGCCCAGAATAGTATTAGCCTTTTTTGCCGCTGCATCACACTGTTGCCTCCAGACTCCTCATATGTGACGCTTGCTGTCTCAGGCAATCCGAGCAGGACGGGGGTCTGCCTTTTGCGAGGTGCTGACATTGAAAGCCCTAAACGGCCTCAGTCTTGTATACCTGAAGGAACGTCTCCACCCTCATAATCCAGCCCGGACACTGAGGTCCAGCGCCGAGGGCCTTCTGGTGGTTCTCTCACTGCAAGAAGTGAGGTTACAAGGGCCTTCTCGGTGGTGGCACCTGCCCTGTGGAATGCCCTCCCAGCAGATATCAAGGCAATAAACAACTATTTTACTTTTAAAAGACAACTGAAGGCGGCCCTTTTTAGGGAAGTTTTTAATGTCTGATGCTGTATTGTTTTTAATATTTGGTTGGAAGCCGCCCAGAGTGGCTGGGGAAACCCAACCAGATGGGTGGGGTATAAATAATAAATTATTATTATTATCATTATTATTTTTAACCTGGCAGTCCCACGAAAACTTCTGGACTAGGAACTTTGACCTGGATTTGATCAGCCCCAAACAGCATCACTACAAATCTCGTGGGGAGAGCTCAGGTCCTCCTTGCGGGCTGGTTGCCCATGGTTGCACCTGCTGACGTTGCGCTTTTCGGATTCAGTTCCAGCTGACGGTGCCCGTCTCGGTGGTGTTTGCCAAGGGGACCCTTCCAGGAGATCTGGAGCGGAAACTGCCCTTTAGGAAACCGCAGGAGGCCGAGATCCCCTTGAACCGTGAGTTGGTTGATGTTGCTTCAGGGTCTGACTCTGCAGGTGATGATCCACTGTGCGTGGGGCAGGCGGCCACCCAACCTCTGCTTAAAAATCCTGCCTCCTCCCTCCTCCCCACACTTCTCTCTCAGTCCTGAGAGTTCCTCTTTCACCATCCTCTGAGAGAACGAAGGAGCCAGCATGGGCTGTCTCGATCTTCTCTGGTTTGGTTAGTTACTGTTAGACTATACACGGGTCAGCAAACTTTTCCAGCAGGGGGCCGGTCCACTGTCCCTCACACCTTGTGGGAGGCCGGACTATATTTTTTGGGGGGGGGAAAGAACGAATACCTATGTGTCAAGGCTGCCTCAGGTCTCAGCTCACAAAAGACCAACGCCAATCTCTTCTTACATACAAAAGTGTTTATTGCAGTTCATTGTTTGCTCCATATCCGAGGCGCGCAGCCTCACGTCTGTACGCTTAGACCGTTGAAGTCCCCTCTGAATCAGTCCCTCCCCTGCACCAGTTTAAGAGCCTTGCGCTGCTCCACCTCTTTCTCTCTTTCCTTTTCCTCAGGGTCTTTCTGCCCGCTGGGGTTTCGCCCTCCTGGATTCCCCTGACGCGCTATCCCCGACTGCTCTTCCCCCTCCTGCGGGCTTTAGGACCTGGCCCTTCCTCCGGGCTCCCTGTACTTCCGCGCGCCTCTACATTTGAACTTGCGCGCGCGCCCAACCTCTAACTTTCCTTTTGACAGTTACACTACTCCCTTCACTACTCCCTCCCTTCCGGGAGGATGGCTTGCTCCGACCTCCCTCCCTTCTCTGCTGCCGGAGCTGCTTCCCTGACACACTGGAAACTCCACCCCCTTCGCTGCACTCTGGTGGGGAGGCTGGTCCTGACGCCCAGCTGCCACTTTGGGATCCCCGCTGGCCCCCTGTTCCTGACACGTCCCCCTGGGGCTCCTGGCCTTGACCACTGGCGCCCCTTCTGGGAATCCTCTGATTCGCTGGAAAGACTCATGGAATCTCTTGAGTCATTGTCATCCTCTTCCTCGCTGTCCTGGGATTCACCCCCATCGCTCTCCATCTCCTCCCTACCCTGTGCCTCTGTCCCTGAACCCCTGACACTATGCCCCACAAATAACCCAGAGATGCATTTTAAATAAAAACACACATTCTACTCGTGTAAAAACACCAGGCAAGCTCCACAAATAACCCAGAGATGCGTTTTAAATAAAAGGGCACATGTAAAAACACACTGATTCCTGGACTGTCCACGGGCTGGATTGAGAAGGCGAATGGGCCGGATCCGGCCCACGGGCCTTAGTTTGCCTACCCCTGGACTAGAACTATAAACATTGCTATCCAAGTTCTATATTTCCTACAATAAAAAACTTCAGTTATTTTCTTACCTGCAAGCATTTCCGGGGTTGCGTGATTTCAACGGATGAAGGGCCTTGTCTAAGCAAGCATCGTCGGCTTTAACGCTGCTCACTTTGCATCCCACAAGGCTTTCTGCCGTTAACTGGACCCTGTTATCCCCGAAGGAGGGCTGGGTGCTGGGGACCCAGTTATGTTTGGGTTTCGGAAGCAGCCCAGGGGTTGGCTGAGGGCCGTCACCCGCAGAGCAGACGGCCTCATCCTGCGTCTCCTTCCTCCAGCCAAGACCAGCGTGACGTCCCGCTATGAGGTTTCCTACCGCCGAGCCACTTCTCAGGAGGAGAAGACTCTGTCCCGGGCCTCGGTGCCAGGTAAAGGCTCCGATCTGTGTGATGGAAATGGGTGGACCACAGGTTCCCCAAGTGGGCGGTGGCGTCTCCTGGGGGGCAGGTGGGATTGCCTGGGGGGCGCTTAGAGGCAAGGGGGCAGCAGGGGGGTGCGGGAAGTGTCAATGACTGTCAGATTCTGAAGAGCCAGTATCGCTGGAGCAACTTCATCAATTGTATTGAGTTGATTAAGCTAAATGGCTTTTGACTAAACGTGCAATTCTTTGCTCCCATTTTGAACTTTACTGTGCTGTTCTTCCTTAGTGGACTGTGCAAACTGCTATTCTGAATAATGATATTTTCATAGAGTTTGGTGGTAGGCTGTGGGGAGGAGTTTATGGGACGCAGGAAAAAGTTCAAGAATCCCTGGGAAGAACATGCAAGAAGATTTCAGCTAGGATAATAATAATAATAATAATAATAATAATAATAATAATAATTTATTATTTATACCCCGCCCATCTGGCTGGGTTTCCCTAGCCACTCTGGGCGGCTTCCAACAGAACACTAAAATACAATAACCTATTAAACATTAAAAGCTTCCCTAAACAGGGCTGCCTTCAGATGTCTTCTAAAAGTCTGGTATTTATTTTTCTCTTTGACATCTGGTGGGAGGGCGTTCCACAGGGCGGGTGCCACCACTGAGAAGGCCCTCTGCCTGGTTCCCTGTAACTTGGCTTCTCTCAGCGAGGGAACAGCCAGAAGGCCCTCGGAGCTGGACCTCAGTGTCCGGGCAGAACGATGGGCGTGGAGACGCTCCTTCAGGTATACTGGGCCTCAACATAAGAGCAGGATGCTGCAGCACGGCTGCTGACAGGGAGTATCACACCTGGATTCAGAAATCTGCACCTGTTGCTGATCTGCTACTGGGCCATCTTCAAGATGTTACTATTAGGACATAAAGCCTTTAACAACTTGGACAAGTTCACTCGACCTGCGGCGCTCATTCGACACTCCTTCAGGATCAGGGTGTGATCCTCTCCGTGAGGGATGTGGGCAGAGGATTTTGGGGTGACTGCCGCGGGCACCGTCACCTCCTCTGGCCACTTCTCAGAGCCCCACCCCCATGAGACCCAAAGGGAGAAGGGGCCTGCACTGACGTGTGACAGAGGAGTTTCTTTAGCGAGACCATAGAGAAGGTGCCTGCCTGATACGCAGTGGAAGGGAGTTCCAAAGGGGAAGGGGAGGTCCTGGTGAGTAGGTGGGCTTTTGGGGAGGGGCTTTCCCTCTGCATAGCAGGATGGGGGAGCCCCACAGCCTCACCTCCTCTTCTCGTTCCAGAGGCGGGCGAGGGGCTCCTTCCAGCGCAGGAGGCTGCTGTGGGCTCCCTCACCATCTACGTGATCCCAAGAAGCTCTGTGCTCCTGCCACAGGTAGACTGACCCTCTCCTGCCCTCTCTGCTACTCCCCACCCTCTGGCGGGTGGGAAAGTCCTCTTTATGGAAAGGGGGCATTTAAATTATGCAGCAAATAATAATAATAAATCTTATTTATATCCCGCCCTCCCCGGCCAAAGCCGGGCTCAGAGCGGCTAACACCATTTTGGGTTGGCTCTCCATGCTTTATATGTTGTTCTGGCAAAATTGTGTGATTTGTCCCGCCTCGCAGGGCAGAACTAAGTCACTATAGTTCGCTCACTGCCGTCTTTCTCCCTCTGCAGGAGGTCCCCGTCTACATCAGCAAGCGGCGCAGCGCAGTGGTGCGGGCGCCTCGGGGCTCGGGAGACGTCCTGGCAGCTGTGGACGCCCAGGTCCGAGAAGTCGCCCGTGCCATGTCCTTCAGCCTGGAATCCATCGCAGAGGCCCTCTCTGACCGCGTTCCCCTCGGCCAGCCGGGCGCAGAGTGGAAGCGCCCTTTCAAATCCAGTCTGGGTAGGGACTGGCGGGCAGAGAACCTTCCCTTTTCCCAGCTGGAGAGTCTTGTCAGAATCTCCGTATGACCGAGCTCCTCCTCCGGTCGAGTCTTCAGATCTCCTCCGACGGTGATTAACGGCCTAAGCCTTTGATGAGGCTCCAGGCCTGTTCCCATTACGCAGAGTATACAAGTAGCAGCAGAAGGAAAAGAAATACGAGCTACATTGCTAAGAGTTTTATTTCTAACTACGCAGACAGAAAAGAAATATACATCCTCTCTCTGTGAAAGCAGAGAGGCAACTGGTACAAAGAAACAGGAAACCAGTAATATCAACATCCGTCTCCCATCTCCCGTGAGACTTCCAGCAGTCTGGAATGTAAACAGAGTCTTGTGACTTCAAGCACTGCACAGTGGCACAACAGAAACCCAACAAATCTCCCTTACGTGCTGGGGTTGCACCTGTGGGATTTCTGCCTGCCAGGAAGACCTCTCCCCCTTCTTTTGCCTCTGAGCCAAGCACACTGGCCTGTTGAGAGGATCCTGCCCCATCTGTGCCCACTCAACCCGCTTCAGTCGGCGGAACTGGCATTCTTTCAGCTGTTCTGCATTTGCAAGAATTTGATGTGTTAGTGTGGCAGCAACTGCACTTTGGAACTCCCTGCCTCTTGAGATCAAGGAGGCGGCTTTGCTGCACTCTTTTCAGCACCTGCCGAAAACATTCTTCTTTGGGCAAGAATGTTTAGAAAACCGATTCAAGTCTTCGTCTGTTTTTAGTCCATTGCTATTTTCGAAAGTCTTAAATTATTGCCATTTTTTCATATATTTTTTCCATAAAATTTTGTTTATTTTGGTTTGTAATGTATATGAATTAGAGAGAACAGTCAGGACAACAGCTGAAAATTGAAAGATGAAAAACAGTGCTGTAAATTAACACACAGAATGAGCACAGTTGCAGGTGCCAGTGAAGAATATCGCATTGATCTGGTTTATGAAATCTGTTTCCAGATTTGCTAAGTTTGGGCTGAGGTTGCCTTGGAAAAGATGGTTCTGCTGTGTATTTACTTGATTTATTTCATTAAACACCACTTGATTGTAGAAGAAACCTCAAAGCAGTTTACAAAAAAAGAGAAAACCATAAAATCATCACAATTAAAGAGTACAAAAAGTTGAAGCAACAGTGGATTGAAACAAATTAAAATTCACCTTAACTTTCTAAGCACCTGGACTGGCTTGTCTAAACAGGAAAGCTTTTAGCAGGTACTGAAATGTTGATGGCGAAGGCGCCTAGTTAATATCAATTGGCAGGGAGTTCCGAAGTCCAGATGTTGCCACGCTAAACAACTGAGTCCTTACGAAAGTGAATGGGGTTTTATGTGGCACCCGTATGTTTTAATTTGTTGGGAGACATCCAGAGTGGCTGTGGCAACACATTGCGATGGGTGGTACTCAGAGACATATTGCGGTAAGAGTACCAATTCTTCGGATTAAAGAGGTTGGGTGGGCACATAACAAAGGAAGACCAAATCATGTTAAAAGGGCCTGGAAGTTCTAGTTCCTGCTGAAGTCTCCAGCGTTGCCTAATTTTCCGCACTGTGACTCCATTCGGAGTGAGTGTCCAGTGTCAGATTTCGGACAGTTTTCCATTCAGCCGCAATGGCTATTCGAACTGCCAGGATTAATTCTTTTGATTGTCAGAAACATTCAGCGATGTTAATTTTGGGCAGCAAACCATCGTTTCTTTAGTAGCATTTATTCTTGGTCAGTTCTCCCAGTGGTTAGTTTTATCACTTCCTTGTTTTTGTAAAGCCCCTTGTGGGTTCTTTTTAAACAATCAAGAGGTATATAAATTTTACGAAACAAGTGGCCCCATCCGTAGAGTGTGAGGCTCTTAATATTGGGGTTGTGGGTTCGAGTCCCACACTGAGCAAAAGATTCTTGAATTGCAGGGGGGTTGGACTAGATGGCCCTTGCGGTCCCTTCCAGCTGATTCTATCAGTAAGTCAATATATTCCCCCTCCGCTCTGTTGCAGGATACGAGGTCACCTTCAGCCTGCTGAACCCCGACCCGAGAGCTCACAGCGTCCACTGGGAGATTGAGGGGGCCATTCACCGCTACGTGGACCCCCTCCTGGGGAAGCTGAGTACACTGGCCGAGTTCTCCGTGGACTCTCAGGTGAGTGCCAGGTACAAGTTGCCCGGGAGTCATGCAGTGCCCCTGCCCTGCGAGGGGGGCTTACGGCCACATCTTTCCCCCTAATTCTGCAGATCCTCTACTACGCCGCCCTGGGGGTCACGCCCCGCTTTGACGCTGCTTCCTCCAGCTACATCCTGAGCGCCCACAGCCTCCCGCACGTCATTAACCCTGTGGAAGCCAGGCTGGGTGAGTCCCTCTTTCTCCCAACCAGGGAGGGGGTGGCTGGTTATTATTATTTTTTCCCCAAAAATTTTATTGGTTTTCACAACATTATAAACAAACAAACGAACACATAAGACAGACATAAACCATAGCCTTATTGAAAATTACTCTTATTAGCATTGTTAAGTGAATTCCTCGCATCCCCTTGGTTGAATTTCATTGCATATCCTCTTAACGGTTTTCCAAATTGCAGTCCTTATAAAATTTAACTTAAACATTAACATCCTTGGATCTTCGCATTATGAAATTAAACATATTAATTCATCACTTAACATAAATAAAATCCTAAGCCAATTAAGTATCTGCAAGCTGTTTTCAGTTAATTTAACTTGACATATTTAACTAAATAGTCATTAAATTTAATCCACTCTTCCTGATACGTCTCCTCCTCCTTCTGGTCGCGGACTCTTCCGGTTAGGTCGGCTAGCTCCGAAAAATCCATCAGGGGGTGGCTGGTTATTGGTTCTTCCCAAGAGATCTCAGAAGCCCTTGCTGCCCTCAACAGGCCAGGCCAAGCGAACCAGTGTCCAGATTTGGCCCCTTCATTATTACGCATTTGCCTTTGTATCCCACCTCTTTTCTCAAAGGAGCTGAGGGTGGCGCAACACGGTTCTCTCCTTGTTTAATTCCCCCACAACAACCCTGCGAGGTGAGTTAGGCTGAGACAGGCAGTGAATGACCCCCAATGCCATCCAGGGGGATTCATTTCATTTTCTGCCTTCATCTGAGGATCACAGGACAGTTTACATTATAAGAACGCAAAAATACATACCACAATATCAAAGAAAACCATAGCAAACGCACATAGTTTAAAAGGCCATCGATCTCAGAGCCCACACCCGGAATATCTTCCAACAACACCGTAAGGAAGAGGCCACCGTCCTACCCCCAGAATATTTCAGGTCTTAGAACTCACTGCGGCACCTATTTTAAAAAAAGAGATCTGAACATACCAACAAACAATGGAACAACTCCACTATGCCAAGCAATGAGATTCTAGTCCTTAGTTTCTGGGGCATTTAACACCAATGACTTCTCCTCGCCACTTATTTCGCCTAGTGGTTGATACCACTACTTTTCATTCCCCCCCAAAAGATCTTTATTGAAACTTAACATATATACATAATAACCAAAATTCCCAATGATTCCCTCACATAAAATATAATATCTAAATTACAACAGCTACTTAATTATACACTTAATTATAAAACCCACCCCCTACTTCCCTCCACAGCAACTCAACTCAATTTCTTTCTACCTTTCCCCCTTGCATTCTATAATAAATTATTTTTGTTACATTCTGATTTTTCCTTCTTTCTGTATTGGTTTTGTTATTGCTTACATTTTGTTATTCTAAGCCTATTAGCGCGTCATTTTTAGAACAACATTTTGACATGTAATCTTCAAAACACTTCCACTCCATTCTTATCTTTTTATTTGATTGATAACTGAAGTGAGTTTTGCCAATTCTATATACTCACTTAATTTACAAATCCACTCTTCCTTTGTCGGTGTGTCCTGAGATTTCCATTTACCACTACTTTTCAAATGATCTCTTGCCATCATTCTGTGCAAATCGATGCCCCCGAGTGGCTCCCGGTTTCATCAGATGAAATAAAAATGTTAATTCCTGTTCAGGGAAGTTTTTAATGTGTGACAATTTAGTGTATTTTTGGTCTCTGTGGAAGCCACCCAGAGTGGCTGGGGAACAAATAAATTATTATTATTATTATTATTATTATTATTATTATTAGGCAAGGGAAAGCTGCTGGCTCAGATGGGATAGGCTCTTTAAACTAGACCCTGACTGGCCAACCTATTCACAAGGGTATATACGACTGGACTTATACCATAGGCATGGGCAAGCGCAATCATTGTTCCCATATTGGCTCTCCATAGTGGGACTCCAGTTCCCCAACTAGCGCAGGACGATGGGTGTTGTAGTCCAAAACATCCTTCTCTCTCTCTCCTTTCCCGCAGGTTCCAGCGCCTCCTCGCTCTACCCGGTCCTCAATTTCCTGCTCTACGTGCCGGAGCGCCTGCACTCGCCCCTCTATATCCAGGACAAGGATGGCGCTTCCGTCCCCACCAACGCTTTCCACAGCCCCCGCTGGGGCGGCATCATGGTGAGGAAGCAGGCAGGGCTGCCACAAGCTCTGCAGGGGCGTCGCGAAGTCATTTCTTACTTGAGAGCAATGTGCAATCGAGCCTTTAGTGTCGTTGGCCCCGTGGAACTCTCTGCCACTGGAGACTCGGCAGGCGCCTTCTGTTTTTTGTTTTTTACTTTTAAGGCACCTGCTGAAAACTTTGTTTTCTTTTTTGGAAAACCAGTTTTTTAAATGTCGTTTTATAGTGTATGTAAAACAGACAGGACAGTTATAAAAAGAGAGGAAAATGATAAAATGGAAGGCAAAACTGTAAAACAGGCACACAGAATGAGCACAGTTGCACGTGGGTGAAAATAACGAAGCCCGAGGCAGGGAAGAAAAAAGCGAGGATAAATTTGGCCATCCCATAAAGAATATCAGCGTTATCTGATTGTCAAGTCTACTTCCTGGTTTGCCAGGCTTGCAGGAAGCGTTGTCTTGAACATGATGCTTCTGTTGTATATATTTCACAAAGGAGTACTAAACGGTATAAAATGCACCTGGAGGTTCTAGTCCTCATTAACATCTCAAATTATGCCCCATTTTCTCCATCCTAGTACTGTTCCAGAGGGGACCAAGCGGCCAGTCTCCTATTTTGGCCTGTTTTCCATTGAGCTGCAGTTGCTCTTAGCTGCCAAGATCATATATAAGACCAATTCTTTTGAAAATATATCTACATAGGTATAATCAAAAATACCCAGCAATGTTGATTTTGGAAAACAAACCAGTTTCTTTGGTAATATTGATCATTTCCATCAAAATACTATAGAAAACTCTTTCTATTCCACCAGGTTTGTACAGGCCTTCCATTGTGATTGATGTCTGCCTTTTAACATTTTTTGTATGCTTTTATGTGTATTTTTGTCATAAACCACTTGGAGATTTTTCTTTAACGCAATGGCGGCCCTTTTGTACGTGAATAAATGAATGGCTCCCTCGTTTCCAGGTGTACAACGTGGAGCGCGAGACGGCCAACGAGACCTCCCTCCCGAGGAGGGTGAATGTCGACATGACGCGGGTGATGGAGGTGTTTCTGGCGCAGCTGCGGTGCGTTTTTACGGATCCTAGAATCATAGAGTTGGCAGGGATCCCCAAAGGTCATCTAGCCCAACCCCCTGAGAGCACCTGCTCCACATGCAGAAGGTCCCAGGTTCCTCTTTGTTCAGCACCATGAGGACTAGGAACTTGCTTTTATTTTCAGGGGAAGGGCTGTAGCTCAGTGGCAGAGCATTGCTTTGCATGCAGAAGGCCCGGGGGCATAGGGCAGGGCTGGGATAGACTCTCGTTCTGAAACCCTGGAGAGTCACTGCTGCCAGTCAGTGTAGGCAATACTAAGCTAGATGGACCACCGGCCTGATGTCCCTATTTAAATGAGCTGTTTTTTTTGAAAACCATGAGGACTGGAAGCTTGCTTTTATCATCTGCTTTGCATGCAGGTCTCGGGTTCAGTCCCCAGCAGAACCTCCACACAGGGCAGGGAGAGGCCCCTTGGCTGAAACCCTGGATAGCTATTGCTGCCAGTCAGTGCAGGCAATGCTAAGCTAGATGGGCTGGTGTGGCGACTTGCTATACACACACACACACACTTACTTATTAGTTTTTAGCATACCATTTTCAACAATAATTAAACATACTTTTACATCTTATTCAGTTTTTTTTTACTTCCATCAGCCCTGTCTGAAAATTTTCCAATCTAATCTCTTAGTATGCATTTCTTACTTTCCCTATTACATTTAAAACTCATGACCAAAATTTCTCTCTTTTTCTACTTTGTAACACTTTTTATGTTTCTCCTTACAAAACTTCTTGTAGTCCTACCAGCGTAATTTGTTGGTTACAGTTGCTCTTCAAATAATTCATATACTTCTTCCAGTCTTCTGTAAATCTCTGGTCCCGCAGGTTTCGAATCCTTCCTGTCATTTGGTCCAATTCTGCATAGTCCATTAATTTCGTCTGCCATTCTTCTTTCGTAGGAATTTCTGGTGTGGTGGCTTGCTATTACGACAGCTACCCACATCCCTGTAGTTCAATGTTTTCATGGGATTGTTTGTTGTATATTTTGTATATTTTGATTACAGGGGCTTGTATTCTAGTGCTTGTGTGTTGCTGATTTCTGTATTTTGTAATCTGTGTGGTTTTGGCATTAAGCAGTCTATAAATCTGTTGCCCTAAGCGGTGCATAAAACTGTTGTTGCAGAAGCAACAGATAAACCTGCTGGTGTCTAAATCGGCTCGCTGGCCCTCTTCCTCTCTGCAGCTTGCTGTTTGGGATCCTGCCGGGTCCCCTGCCAGAGGGGGCCATCCTCGAAAGCCCCGGGAACGAGGGTCTCTCCGACTGGGAGCTGGACCGCCTGCTGTGGGCTCGGACGGTGGAGAATGTGGCCACCGTCTCCACCACCCTGACCTCCTTGGCTCAGCTGCTGGGCAAGATCAGCAACATCGTCATCAAGGACGACGTGGCTTCTCAGGTAAACTCGCAGGCGGGTCTTTGGGGGCAGCACTGCTCCAGTTTGCCTCCCTCTTTGGGGCCCCGTGCTGAGCCCGTTGCTGCGGCCACAATTGCCAAGCCTCGTGGTGCCTTGAAAGGGGGTTGGTCTAGATGACCCCTGGGGGGTCCCTTGTCAACTCTATGATTCTAAGCAGGGGCACTCCCACTCAGCGACAGCCCTTCCCCTAAAGATAAAAGATTCAAATGAAGGACAAAGGTTCCGAATTCAGGGCTGATTTAAATAGAAACTTTTTCTGTTGAGAGATAGCAAAGTGGGTGAAAATATAAGCAAACCAGAAACGCACGTTGGGGGAAGTCTTGGAGGGGAGGGAGAGAGGGAGGAATATATAGTAAATGTTAAGAATTTCAGATGTATGTAATGAACGAAAATGAAAAATGAATATTTTAAAAAAAAAATAAAATAAATAGAAGTGAGGAAGCTGCTCTGTGCCAACCTTCTGCATGCAAAGCAGCTGTCCTGCCACCAAACTACGTCCTGGCCCAGCAAACCCGGCCTGATCCCTGCGCCCTTTTTTTAACCCTAGGTGTACCACGCTGTGGCATTCGCCCAGGAGGCGCTGGCTGAGCTCAGCCAGGGACGTCTGGACCCTGCCTTCCAGGCCAGCAAGGCCGCCATCAACGCCTCGGAGAGGGCCTTTTTCGACCCATCCCTCCTCCACCTCCTCTACTTCCCTGACGACCAGAAGTTTGCCATCTACATCCCCCTCTTCCTGCCCATGGCCGTCCCCATTCTGCTGTCGCTGGTGAAGATCGGCCGGGAGATGAGGCAGAGCAAGAAAGCGGCCATCAAGGTGGACTGAGGCACACGCCCTGCGTGGAGAAGTTGGCACCCGGGGTGTGCGTGATGGAGGGCAGTGCGGGGCGAGAGAGGGGTCTGGATGCAACCCTCTCCCTCTTCCTGGGATGGGGCCCCGTCCTCCTCTTGATCTGAGTTTCACGCTCTCTGTGTTGGAGAGTTTGCCGCTAGATTCCAAGGGTGCTGCTGAGACTGTGATGGGCCCATCCAAAGAAGAACGCTGCGGCGTTTGGGATATTATTATTATTGCCATTGGATACAACTTCCGTTGTTTTATATAGAAGGCACAGTTGCATCCCGTTGCTACAAACACTCTCAGCGAAAACCAACCGAAAAGCCGAAATTCATAATCGTGTCCTCCCCAGTAGCCAGCTACCCCATCCAGACTCTCTTAATCCTACAATATTGTCTTCACTCTTTGCTAAGTCCACATACACACAAAAAAACCAGGCACCCACAACATAAATAAGTATAAATTTGTACTTTTGGATATAAGGAGTTTAAACGTGCCGAAAATGTCTTAGGCAGAGGGCAAATGAAGAAACGAGAAGTTTTGAGAAAACCACAAGCCAACGGCAAATAAATGATGTGTAATGAAATACTTCAGTAGCCAGCTACTGTTTCTAAAATTCGATGTAAATATTAATCGCATCACCCCCCCCCCAAATGGATAAAATAAAAAAATTCCTTCCAGTAGCACCTTAGAGACCAACTAAGTTTGTTATTGGCATGAGCTTTCATGTGCTAAAGCTCATACCAATAACAAAATTACTTGGTCTCTAAGGTGATACCGGAAGGAATTTTTTAATTTTGTTTTGACTATGGCAGACCAACACGGCTACCTACCTGTAACCCAAACGGATGGTTTGGGAAATATTATCTCCCTGGGGTTGTGGACTTGGTGCTTTTTTAAAAAACAGATTTTCCTTTTTGCAGAAATAAGTTTAGGAAGAATGCATTGGGGTGGAATGGGCCACTTCTCCTATTTCTGCCCCCCCCCGGCCATTTTAAGGGTGGCCCCCAATAAATCTTGTTCACTTGCAGGGCTATGAAGGGGCTTCCTCCTTGGTTTGCCATGGAAAGTTTGCATGTTGGCATAAATTCTGCCCTTGTTGATGGAGAGGATGGCATGTACCAACTACCAAAGGACACTTAGGGATGTTCCATAAAAGTCTGGTTGGATGGATTCTCTTTCTGCAGGGTTGTCGTTCTTGGGCGGCTGGGGCAGCGGCTGGAGATGGGCCTCCTGTGGGTGTTGGGTTGGAGCAGCGAGGGAGCCCCTGTGGCCCTCCAGATGTTGAGGCCATCAGAAGGGCCCTGCTGCGGCTGGATCAGGCCTCAGGGGGCCCATCTGGTCCACCTTCCTGTTCTCACAGCGACCAACCTTGCTGTCCATAAGGAGGCAGGACCCGAGTGCGAGAGCAGCACTCCTCACTTGCGATGCTCCACTCTGATAGTGGAGGCAGAACACAGCCACTGAGTGTTATAGGAACGGTGGGAGTTGCCTCTATTAAAACTGAGCGAGACCGATGGTCCATCTAGCTTAGTATTGCCTACACTGGCTGGCAGCTGCTCTCCAGGGTTTCAGGCAAGGGAGTCTTTCCCAGCAGAACCTAGAGAGGCTGCCAGGGATTGAACCTGGGACCTTCTGCATGCAAAGCATGCACCACTGAGCTGCATCCCTTCCCTTTAAGAGAAAGATGCTAGTCCTCATGATTCTAAATAATTTTTTTTAAAAAAAGATTTATCCCTTACCCACCTGCTCCAAGGAGGGCGGGGCTGCCCTTCTTCCTCCTAGTCCTCCCTTCCTGCCATGTTCCTTTCACATGTTCACAACAGCCCTGCTAGGTAGAGCAGGCGCCCGGCAGCGAGCCTCGCAGCTCCAGACAGGCCCCTTTCCACTGTTTCCAATTGCCCCCCACCCATCTCTCCAAGGAGCGCGGGGCTGCCCTTCTTTCTGCCATGTTCCTTTCACAACAGCCCGGCGAGGTTGCCAGCACCTCTCCTACCCCGCGCTCGCCGGCGCTCTGCACGCGCTCCGAGGCGCCCTTGCGTTCCCTCCTCCCTCCGCTGGGGAGGAGCCGGGCCCGAAGGGGCGGCCCGGCGGCCGCAAAGGCGCTTAGGGCGCGCGGCCGGGCGGGCATGAGCGAGGCGACCGTGGTCGCTGTCGCCGCCGCTGCAGCAGCCTCCGCGCGCGCCGCCGCCGCCGCCACTCGCTCCGCGGCCGCACAGAGCAGCAGCAGGAGCAGCAGGAGCGGCGGCGCCATGAAGGTGAAGAAGGGCAGCGGCGCCGGAGGAGGAGGCGCGCCCGGGGCCGGCGCTGGCGGAGGAGCCGCCGCCGCCGCCGCCGCTTGCACCGAGGAGGAGCTGCTGCGCAAAGCCGCCATCAGCCCCGAGGACGTGCTGGGGCTCCCCAAGATCACCTCCGGTAAGGCGGCCCCGCAGGCCCGGACCCCCCTGCACCTCTCCAAGCGCCGTGCGCCCTGGGCGCAGCGCCAAAGCGCAACCCCTCCGGACGCAACGACGCCAGGCCCCTTGCCCGCAAAGACCAGTCTTTTTGAAAGATATATATAGTGGGGGTGGAGGGGGTCCCTGAATATTCAGCCCCCCGATCTTCCACACCCCACCCCCTTCCACTCGATCCCTCTAGGGGCCGCAAGGGGTGTCTCTGCTGCACCTCATTGGTCCTCCCTGGCAAAGTCTGCTGGGGGGGGGCTGTCTTCTGTCTCCCCCCGCGCTTTTCCTACAGGGTAGTCTTTTCCGCGGGAGGGAGAAAGTTGAATGGAGGAAAGGAAGCAAATAAAGTAGAATAAATGCTGCTGTTCGTCTATTATTATTTCATTCCTGTTGGGTTATTAACATCCCAAGAGTGTCGTTATTTTGACTTTTTGCAAGTCTAGATGGTTATTTATGCTCCTTGTGGATAATTTTTTGTTTTTTTAAATCTTTTTTGGCAAACCACAATGGAATAAAGTATTGCTCCAGAGCCCCCTCCTGTGGTTGTTTACTCAGAAGTAGCCCCATGGGGCTCGCTTCCCCTAGGGCCTAGGTGACCCAAGACCCAAGCAGTCCATGGCAGGTTGCGTAACCAGACATGTGAGTGCATGTCAGAAGCAGGCATGACACGAGTGTTGCTGTCGCCTCTCAGTTTGCATCTGTGTTCTTCCAGGGGGCTTATGGCCTGCTATGGCTGGCTGGAGTTCTGGTGGGCCCCTGATGCTCAGAGGCTCCTGGCACCTGGATTCTGCCTGTGTCTGGCTTCCGCCCATCTGTGGAATCTCTCCCGCAAGGATCGACTTGCCAGGATACCTCCCTTCCATTGGAGAGAAGCGGAAAGGTGTCCCCACATTGAGTTTTCAAAGTTAGCGTGTGAATAGTTGGAGGAGATGATAAGGCTTTTAATGTTTAGGGACTGGTAACTTGAAGTAGTTGTGCTTGATTTCCACCTCCTCCCTCCTCCTCCCTTTTTCCTCTTGTGCCATGTCTTTTTAGATGGTGAGCCTTAGTGCTGACTTTTTGGGAGCCACTTTCGAGAACGTTTTGGGCGAAAGGCACAAATGCTGTCAAGAAAAGGGAGGTTTGCACGTCTCCAAGCTCTGTCACTTCCTGGAGTGTGCAAAAGCAAATGGGCTCTGTGAAGGTCTAGTCAGTGCATGGGTAGGCAACCTAAGGCCTGGGGGCCGGATGCGGCCCAATCGCCTTCAAAATCCGGCCCCTGGATGATCAGCGTGTTTTTACATGAGTAGAATGTGTCCTTTTATTTAAAATGCATCTCTGGGTTATTTGTGGGGCATAAGAATTCGTTCTTTTTTTTTTTCTTTTCCAAAATATAGTCTGGCCCCCCACAAGGTCTGAGGGACACTGGACCGGCCCCCTGCTGAAAAAGTTTGCTGACCCCTAGTCTAGTGTGTCCTTTGAGAGCTTGTCCAGGGCAGGTGTGCTTTTGACCTGCGTGGTTGCAGCTTTGTGGCTTTCCGCCCTCAGACAAGGCTCTGGCAGGGAGAGGAATAGCTCCGGTTTGGGAGCAGGGCTCTAAAGTTTCGGTCTCCAATGGCATCTCCAGGTGGGACTGGGAATGTCCCTCCTGCCTGAAACCCCGGAGAGCCACTGCTGCCTGCCGGTTAGCCTAGACCAGAGCTTTCCAAACTGTGTCGCGACATGTTTGTGTGTCATGCAAACGCTGCTGACGCTCCTCTCAGAGCTGGAAAATGGTTAGTTTAACCAGGGGTCAGCAAACTTTTTCGGCAGGGGGCCGGTCCACTGTCCCTTAGACCTTGTGGTGGGCCGGACTATATTTTCTTTTTTTGGGGGGGGAATGAACGGATTGCTATGCCCCACAAATAACCGAGAGATGCATTTTAAATAAAAGGACACATTCTGCTCATGTAAAAACACGCTGATTCCCGGACTGTCCACGGGCTGGATTGAGAAGGCAATTGGGCCGGATCCAGCCCCCGGGTCTTAGTTTGCCTACCCGTGGTTTAACCTCTGGTTTGCTAGTAAAGCTGAATTATGCTGCTGCGAAATGATGCGTGTCTAAAAAGTGTGTCACCTACAAGAAAAGTTTGGACTGCCCTGGTCTGAGGGCAGTGCCAAGATGGTCCAGTTGTCTGGTATAATATAGGGGAGTTTCCTATCTTCCTATTTAATCCAGCTCTTAAATCCAGCCCCATGAGGACCGGAATCTTTCTTCTTAGGTCTAGGGGAAGGGCCTTAGCAGGTGCTTCCTCTCTCCCTTCTTTCTGCAGCGGCTCATGGTCTTGGTTTGACTCCTGTAGCTGTCTGTATATTGCTGAGGACTGCAATTCCAGCCTCCTGTATATTCCACTCTCAAAGTTTGGGTTTAAGAGCATGTGGCCTGAGATTTCCTCTGCTCCTGGTGAACCAGACGGTTTTGTGGTTCATTTTTGGATCTTTGCTCAAGAGATTTCTTCAAAAGGAAAGGTCTTTGATAGACCCTGGAAAAGCAGCAGAGATGGCATCCACCTGAGACGTAAAAATAAGGCGTTCCAAAGGTTGGGTGCCGCCACACTAAAGGCCCCGTTCTGTAGGAAAGGTTCTGCGAGAGGCCATCTCCTGCAGAACAGAGGGATCAGTTGGGCATATAATGAGTTAGAGGATCTTTTAGGATCCCTCCAGGCTGGTGGCATGTTTTTGTGTGTGTGGAGTTGAGTTCTGTAGCATGACGTTGATGCAACGAGAGTGTATTAATAGCAGATTTTTACTGGACCGTCCACACGTCGTTCCGCAATATTAGCTGTTCTGCGATAACTACTCCAATGTTGCCACAGTATTGCCGTCTGAAGGGACACTCTTGGGCTATAGTGTAACAAAAGATAAACTGGAACTTGTGCAGCTATGGAAAGTTGGACGAAATTATCCAGAAACTTTGGAGCATGTGCCAGTGAGGAACTAAGTGTGTGCCCACCATGAAATCTTTGCAGGCACAGTGTCGAAAGTGTGACAGTCTAACCACCCCGTTAACGTCTTGTGCGCAAATAATTATTTGTTTATTTCATAAAAATTATACACCTCTTGATTGAACCCCCCCTCCCCCCCAACCTCAAATTGGTTTACAAAAAGATGAACATTAAAGTCAGGGGGAAAACCTACAATGCATTGAAATATAAAAGCTGTTAAAATGCTTTTGTGGGCAGGCTTGTATAAACAAGAATGTTTTCAGTAGACTCCAGAAAGAGTGCAGGTGACCTGATCTCAAGAGGCAGGGAGTTCCAAAGTGCAGGTGCCGATGGAAGTGGCCAACACTGAAACAGCTCAGTTTGTAGAGCACGAGACTCTTAAGGACATGGGTTCGAATCCTGCAGTGGGCAAAATATTCATTGTATTGCAGGGGGTTGGGCTGGATGACCCTTGGGGTCCCTTCCGACTCTACAATTCTAGCATTCTAAGTCGAATGCATTATGAAAGGCTGTCTGAAGGACCCCCTGGGTATCCGGTTTCCTTGTCTTGGGGAAGGGGCTGCAGCTCATTGACAGAGCCCCTGCTTTGCACCCAGAAACTCTCAGATTCAGACCTGGGCAGCATCTCTGGGTGGGGCTGGGAGAGACTTCTTTTCCTACATCCTGGAGAGCCATAGAAGAAGAAGAAGAAGAAGAGGAGGAGGAGTTTGGGTTTGATATCCCACTTTATCACTACCCAGAGGAGTCTCAAAGCAGCTAACATTCTCCTTTCCCTTCCTCCGCCACAACAAACACTCTGTGAGGTGAGTGGGGCTGAGAGACTTCAGAGAAGTGAGACTAGCCCAAGGTCACCCAGCAGCTGCATGTGGAGGAGCGGAGATGCGAACCCGGTTCCCCAGATTACGAATCTAGTGCTCTTAACCACTACACCACACTGCTGCCCGTCAGAGCAGACACTGCTGAGCTAGATGGAGCAATGGTTCCGGCTGGCAGAAGGCCACTTCCTATGCTCCTTTGGGACCAGCCCCGACCAGGGTGAGGGCTACGGGGCACACGTGGGTGTCCTGTTGGGGACATCCGGGCAGCCTCTGTGGAAAGCTGTGTGCCGGCCTCTCTGGGCCTTTCGTCTGAGCCAGCAGGGCTGAGTCCTGTTCCTACTGCAAACTGAGATCCTCTTGGTCTTAAGGACATCAGAAGACCCTCCTGGGCCTGGCCCAGGCGGGCCCACCGTGTCCAGCCTCCTGCTCTCCCAGTGGCCACCCAGATGCCCCCAGGGCAAACCCACAGGCAGGATTCGAACACGAGAGATTCCCACATCGCAGGGGGGCTAGACTAGATGACCCTCGGGGATCCCGGTTTTGTGGTTCTACGAGGAGCCTCGCTGCTTCCGACTGTGGAGGCAGAACATCAGATCAGGCCTGGCTGCAGGATCAGGCCAGTGGCTCCTCTGGTCCAGCATCCTGTCCTCAGATGGCTACCCCAACGTCCTGATGGGTAGCCCGCAAGCGGGACCCGAACCCGAAATCCCTCTCGCCTCTTGTGGTTTCCAGCCACCGGCGTTCAGAAGCCTCGCTGCCTCCCCATAGCCCTCTCCTCCTCTGGGAATTGGTCTGATCCTCTTTCAAAGGGGTTGGGGCCCCCTCCTGCTCTCCTGCAGGACGTCCAGTTCCCCCTGTCCCCTTCCTGAGCAGCTGGCGCTGAAAAGGTGTCCTTCCAAGGGATTAAGCCCAACTCCAACCCTCTGCGTCCCCTTCCCTATTGCCCAGATTTGCGTCTCGCTCTCAGGGCCTCGCGCAAAGAGGGCGGCCGATTAGCCGGGCATTAGCCCTGGGCGCCTCTCGCCTCCTCGGTCAATAGTGATGCTCCCTGCAGAGCGAGGAATAAATAGACCGATTTCGGGCATCTTCCGCGACAGCTGGTTCTGCACGGCACTTTTTCGATTTCTCTCGGGCACCTTGCCTCTCGTCGTTTCCATTTATTTGCTTCCTAGAAATTCACACGCCGCTCGATTGCTTAAAAACAAAGCCGCCCCTCCAGGCCGGTTATGAAAAAGAGACAATTATCTAGGAGGAGAAGTAGCAACAAGCGTAACCGAAGGCTGTTGAAATGTTAGGTGAAAACTCACAGCAGCTTTCTGAATGTCTGGATGGGCTTGTCTAAATAAAAAAATGTTTTCAGTAGGCACTGAAAGCAGTACAGGGAGGGTGCCGGCATGATGTCCATAGGCAGGGAGTTCCAAAGGTCACCACTCTAAGAGATTGAGTTATTGCAAATGCATGCGTGTTATTTATGCAATTCTTTGACCCAAACCTTTGCTGTAACTTGGTGCCAGGATGGATCTGTTAAAAATGCAACATTAAAATACTTGGGAGTCCTTTGTCCATTTCTAGGCACCCCAGTTTAAGAAGGACATTGACAAGCTGGAAGGTGTGCAGATGAGGGTGACCAAAATGATCAGGAAACCAAGCCTTGTGAGGAACGGTGGAAGTAGCTGGTCAAGAGAAGACTGAGAGGAGATACGATAGCCATCTTCAAATGTCTCGGTTGTTTTCTCCAGCTCCAGAGGGGAGGACTCAGAACAATGGCTTCAAATTGCAAGGAAGGCGACTCAACATCAGAAGAACTTTCTAACAGGAAGAATTGACCAAAGTGGAACGGATTCCCTCTGAAAGACCCTTTTAAGCAGCACTTGGATGGCCATCTGTCAGGGGTACTTTAGCTGAAATTCCTGCATTGCAGGGGCTGGACTAGGTTACTTTGGGTATCCCTTCTGACTCTATGTTTCTTCAATTTATTGGAGGTTATTAAAGAGAGCTCACTCCTTCATGGATCATTGCCTTGTCGTGGCGAAGGGGCTTGAATAACTCAGAGAAGCTATGAACTATGCCGTGCAGGGCCATCCAAGATGGACAAGTCATGGTGGAGAGTTTTGACCAAACGTGATCCACCTGGAGCAGGAACTGGCAAGCCACTCCAGTATCCCTGCCAAGAAGACTCCATGGACAAAAACAACAGATGTATGGAAGTGAGAGCTGGACCATAAAAAAGGCTGATCGCCAAAGCATTGATGCTTTTGAATTATGGTACTGGAGGAGACTCTTGAGAGTCCCATGGACTGCAAGAAGATCAAACCTCTCCATTCTGAAGGAAATCAGCCCTGAGTGCTCACTGGAAGGACAGATCCTGAAGCTGAGGCTCCAATACTTTGGCCACCTCATGAGAAGAGAAGACTCCCTGGAAAAGACCCTGATGTTGGGAAAGATGGATGACTAAACGACTAAACAACAACAAAGAGAGCTCGGAGGGCTACCTGTCAGGGATTCTTCAGCTGAGATTCCTGAATTGTAGGGGGTTGGACTAGATAGCCCTTGGGGTCCTTCCAATTATAGGATTTTAAAATCATGTTTACACATCAGGTTGCGGGAGTGGAATTGGGAGCCGTTTTGTGGCCCAGGTGAGGGGGATTCCTTCCTCCGACCCGACTCGGGATGCACATCAAAGGGAGCTCACAGGCCTCTCCTCCTCCTCCCTCCGCCCATCCATTTTTCCTTTTGCAGATCACCTTCCTATTTATAGCTGTGCTGTGGTAACTGCTAATGAACTTATCTCAGAGCCAAATCCCTCCGAGAGAGGGAATTATCTCCTTGCTACGCAGATGGGCTCCTGTGTGTTGATGTGGGGATTCACCGGGGCTCCTGCGTCATTAAGGTGGGATTCTTTGGGACTAGTAACTTACAAAACAACCCTCGCTGGTCCGTGTCGGCGGCTGGTGTTGACCGAGAGAGACCCAGGCACAGTAATAGCGCAGATATCTGTGGCCAAAGTGGATTGATTTACGCTGTGTTTAAATATGCAAAGTGCTTCTCCCCTAACCCCCATTTAAGATATTATTATATCAATATCTACCAATCTGGTTTTTGTTTTGTTTTGTATTTTGCGTCCTCATTTTGTATTTTTTATGTTGTTAACTGCCCTTTGATCCTACGAAAATGTAGGTCATAATACAAATGTAATTAATTAATTAATTAATTAATAATAATAATATAGCTCCCATTTTGCAGATGGGGAAAACTGAGATGGAGAGGGAGTTGGCTGCTGTGTAGAGCTGGTGGCCTACACAAAGTCCCTGGGTAGGAACCCCCTTATTTCTTGATTAGAAGACTAGGACATTGGAGACAGGGTTCAAATCTCCACCTGACCTTGAAGCTCTCTGGGTGTGACCTTAGGCTGAGAGAGGCTCTGAGTGGCCCCAGCCCACCTCACAGGGTTGTTGTGAAGACAAAGCAGGGAAAGGTGTGTGTGGAATGTCTGTCCCACCTCAAGCCCCTTGCAAGAAACCTGCTTTTAGTCTATTGCTATTTTAGCACTTGGAATGTCTCGACTTATTCTTGTTTCCCCCAAGGCATTGCTAATTTTATCGCATTATCTTCCCCCCCTCCTTTTTGCAGACACGTGGTGTATAAACGTTAAGAAGTAAATAAGCCTGGGATATGAACGCCCTAGCAAAAATAATAACATGAACGTCAATAAAATAATTGCATCTTTAAAAAAATGCCTCTTTTGGCGCTCTCAACACCAGAAACACTTAAAAAAATAAATAAACTGCAAGCAGAGACGCTTTGGGATGTCGGGTTCCTCGTCCTGACCTCAAGGGCTTGAATGTGCAACTTGTATCTGCCTGCGGCTTCCTATCGCTTCCCGTCTTGCCACTCCGAGCGAGAGACCTTCCTTCAACTTCCTCTCCCTAACACCCTAATCGCTGATTCTCTGGGCGTGGGTGTCCTCGCCTTATACCTGGCTTACCTCGACACTGCGGGGTTTTAAAAATAGCCCCTGAGCTTATCAGTTACCCGAGCAAAGCTTGTTAGGCAACAGGGCTTTGGGGAAAGGGGGGTTGGCCCGTTTTCCTCCTCTGGGGGTGGAAGAAGACGTGACGGCGTCCCACAGCGCTGTTTCCATTACGCCGCAGTTTGCCTCCCTCCAAAAACGCCGACATGATTAGCCATCCGCCGTGGCGAAATCGCTTAACTTCTGCAATGGATCGAGGCAGCTTCCTTTGCAGAATTATGTCGTGAGTGACGTTTTCTCCCTGGTCCTTTCAGTGCAAAAGGAAGCTGGGTGTGTTTGTCAGCTGCGTATTTCTTGCAGACTGAAAGTTGTAACAGTTGTGTCAACCCATTGATTCCTCCACTGCAACAGGTTGGGTAGATGGCCCAATTCTACCAATTCTTCCAACTTTACAATTCAATAATGATAATAATAATAATAATAATAATAATAATAATAATATATTATTTATACCCCACCTATCTTTGTGGCTTAGGGCCCTCGTATTTACGGGACCGGCTCTCCTGGTCTGCCCACAGAGGACCTTAAGGTCCATGAACAACCATAGTTTAGAGGTCCCGGGCCCTAAGGAAGTCAGACTATCCTCCACCAGGGCCAGGGCCTTCTCAGTGATGGCTCCGACCTGGTGGAATGCTCTGTCCCATGAGACCAGGGCCCTGCAGGATTTAACCTCCTTCTGCAGGGCCTGTAAGACAGAGCGATTCCGCCTGGCCTTTAATTTGAATTCAGCCTGATCTTTTATTCCCCTTCCTTCCCTCCCTCTCCCCTTTTTATGAAGATTTCCCGCTCTGGGATCCCACAGCTAATTCTCCCCTGGTCTCCTCGCTGGCCCAAGTAGGACTAATTTAGCCAGCTAGCTCTGGTGATCATCTAATGTTTATTGGATGGATTTTCCCTCTAAATTGATTTTTGAATTCTGAATTTATTGTTATTCACTTTTTATACTGTATTTTATGCTGCTTTTTTGTTGCATCAATTAAGTGTTTTAAATTTGTTGTTAGCCGCCCTGAGCCCGGTTTTCTGAACTGGGAAGGGCAGGGTATAAATAAAAATTTATTATTATTATTATCTGGCTGGGTTTCCCCAGCTGCTCTGGGCGGCTCCCAACAGAATATTAAATATATTACTCCTGTCTATGTTTTGTGTACTGCTTGATTGTAGAAAACCTCACCTCAGGCTCCTCTTATCTCACTAGATTATCTAAGATGTAACTTATTTCAAAGAGCGGTGGTTTTCCTGTGACCTTTTTGACTCTCTTGAGTTTCGCATTCGGGGCTCGTTGCTTTTGCATAACGAGCGTCTCTTCCTGCACGTTGCGCAGAGCTGCTCGCCTGCGTGTTGCCCGGAAGCCTCCGGCCTCTCTCAGCATGTTAAGAAAGAACATACCGGCGGCATTCGCACCCGGCGTTTTCCCAGTGTGCCCCTGTTCAGCAGCCGCTAAGTGTCGCCAAATCTGCCAGTTCCCCCATTTTTCAAATCTTAAATTCGGCTCCCCGCGTTTCCACATCCGGTTGTGACTTTTTTCCCTTAAAAGAAATCCTCAAGAAAAATCTGCAACATTTGGTGTGAATTTCTTGAATTTTTCTACACAATTTTACGATTACGATATCTTTATTGTCATTGTCCCATGCAGAACAATGAAATTGAAAACTACATAAAACTACATAAAAACTACAGAAAACTACCAGAAAACTACATAAAACTACATAAAATCACATTACGTGATATTGTGTGTGGGGGTTTTTTGTGTGTGTTTGTGTATTTGCAAAGTGGTATTCCCGGATAGGGGACACGGGTGGCACTGTGGTTTAAACCACTGAGCCTAGGAGTTGCCGATCAGAAGGTCGGCAGTTCAAATCCCCACAACGGGGTGAGCTCCCGTTGCTCGGTCCCTGCTCCTGCCAACCTAGCAGTTCAAAAGCACGTCCAAGTGCAAGTAGATAAATAGGTACCACTCCGGTGGGAAGGTAAACGGTGTTTCCGTGCGCTGCTCTGGTTCGCCAGAAGCGGCTTAGTCATGCTGGCCGCATGAGCTGGAAGCTGTATACCGGCTCCCTCGGCCAGTAAAGCGAGATGAGCGCCGCAACCCCAGAGTCATCCACGACTGGACCTAATGGTCAGGGGTCCCTTTACCTTTACCTATTCCCTGATAGACTGTTTAGGGAAGCTTTTAATATCTGAAGTACTATTGTATTTTAATATTTTGTTGGAAGCCACCCAGAGTGGCTGGGGAAACCCAGCCAGATGGGCAGGATATAAATATTATTATTATTATTATTGTTGTTGTTGTTGTTATACTGCATTTTTATCTGTCCTTTTCACTTAAGGTATATGTTCCTTTTTGATGTACTGTTTACTGTAGCATATGTATTTTTGTACAAGTTCCCTGTCTGGAGATTTGCATTGCAAAAGTCAAAGAAGATCAGATTTTGGAGGACAGCTACACTCTCAGCGCTTGCCTTGTTTATTTATTGTGCATTTATTCGCATCTCTCTCCCACCTTTTCTTTCGAGAAGCTCAATGTGACTTACACGGTTCCCCCTCCTCACTTAACCCCCACAACACCCCTGTGAGGCAGGCTAGGCTGAGAGAGGCAGTTTCTGACCCCCAAGGTCTCACCTGGTCTTTGCTTCATGGGCCAAGGGGGTGATTCGCACTCTGGTCTCTCCCAGCCCCTAGTCCTCATTTAATCCCCCCAACATCCCTGTGAGGTAGGTGAGGCTGAGAGGCAGGGATGGGCCCAAGTTCACATGCAGTGAGCTTCGTGTGTGTGTGTGAATTTGAACCCTGATCTCTCCCAGTTCAGAGTCTGATGCTGTAACCACTCCAATACCGCTGCCTCTCAGAAACGGCAAACCAGGTAGGGTTGTTTTTAAATGCAAGCAGAATTGACTTCCTTTCTCCTCCTGACACATTATTTTGTTGGGTTGCCCACAAGGTGCGTTTGATTTAAATCAAATTGATTTAAATCACTAGTCAGTAAGACCTGATTTAAATCATTTTTTTTTTTTTACAGAAAGACTCATTCTTGCTGGTATAATCTTAATATTTCCAACCAGAGGAAAGTTTCATTTTTGGAATAATAAATTTTCAGGGTAGTTTTTACTGTTATATCAAAAATTACTGATTTGGTTATAGTATTAGAAATACATAGATAATTATGAAATAATTGAGAGGTTTAATAAGGTAACTGTTTATATTTGGACAACTTTTCTGCTGTACTTTATTGGAAGGAGAAAAACAATCATTTCCTTAATAACAATTTAAACAATTTATTCAACTTAAAGAATAACATTATAGCATATGTATCCATGTTTGTTAACTGATGTGGTTAAATGTTTTTTTTTTTGTTTAAAAAACTTTAACCGAGTTTTAGCACACATGAAAAACTTAAAACAAATCCTTATTTCCTGATGAATAGCCTTTGGACTACAATGTAACTTAAATAGAAAACTATCTTTAGTAAGATATTTCCTCCAAAAGCATTTTATTTAAAAAATCCAATTTAAATTTTTTTTAAAAATCCAATTTAAATATATATATTTTTTGATTTAAATAAAAAAAATCCAATTTTTATTTTTTTTTTAAAAAAAGAATCATTGATTTTTATCCACCCTGGTTGCCCGTCTTTCTCATTGACAGCCTTGTGGGCACTCATCTTAGGGGGGGCCCGGTGATGGGTGCCAAGGCCCGATGGCCCCCTCTCGCTGCAATTCTCGTGTTGGCAGGGGTTGGACTAGATGACCGCTGGGGATCCCTTCTGTGATTCAAGAGCCTTGGAGCAGAGGGGCTGTGGGAAAGGGAGGATGAGCAAGCTGGCGGGAGCCCCTTTTGCTCCACCCTGGGGACTGGACCGCTCTATCTCCCTCCCACCCCAGATGAGCCATGGCCACACCACCTCCATGGCAACCGTTGCTGAGGGGAGATGGCCGTTGCCATGGTGCTGGGAGGGAGGGAGCAGAGTGGGCAACTCTGACTGGCCTGTGCCATTAACCGGGGCAGGATTCGCCAACCTGGTGCCCCCACCGTGAGGTTTTACAGGAACATGCGAGATCGTGCAAGGATTTCACCCGTCTCAGTATTGTCTGCACTGACAGGCAGCAGCGGCTCCCCAGGGGTTTCGCCAGGGAATATTTCTCAGCCCTACCTGGAGATGCTGCTGACGGGGATGGAACCTGGGCCTTCTGCATGCCAAGCAGCCGCTGATCTACGTGCCACCCTTAAAAGAGAGGGGCTAGTCCTCGTGGTTCTCACTAAAGGGATGCTTTGAATTAGCAACAGAGGAAGCAGCCGTCTACCGAGTCAAAGCATTAGCACATCCAGCCCAGTGTTGTCTACACTGACTGGCAGCAGCACCCTTCTAGTGTCTCTCCCAGAACTTCCTCTAAAAAGAGAATAAGTTTCCAGCCCTCATGGTTCTGAACTAGAGGCTGGTTTAAGCAGGGGCAGAGGAAACTGGCTTAATCCCACGGCAGACCATTTGTGCACCTAGTTCAGTATTGTCTGCACTGGCTGGCAGCAGCAGCAACACCTCCAGGGTTTTGGGCAGCAGATCTTGCCAGCCAGCTTACTCACCAAGAGGGGAAGGAATCTGCACGGCTGTTTCCCACTGAGTTTCAATGACTATTTGCAGATAATCTAGAAGGCCAATTATTTTTAAATATATCTACATTGGTATCCTCAAAAATATTCAGGAACATTAATTTTGGACAGTGTGTGTGTGTGTGTGTGTGTGTGTGTGTATTTAAATTTTCTGCTTCATAATTTAAAATACTCATTTTACACCCTTCAGATATCAATGACTTCCCTTCTCGTTTTCCATGGATCATTTTACATATCATATATCCCTGCATATTTTACAAAAAAACTATACTATTCAGTATTCCATTATGACATCCATCAAAGCTTATTTGCACTGTTGAATTTATCTTAATGCTGCCAGCGTTTTCAGCTGTACACTGTTATTTCCCATATGAAACGTTTTTCTGTCTTCTTTAAACGTATGTTTGTGCACAACTTGTTTCTTTTGTAATATTCATCCTTTCTGTCAAGATTAAATTTAAAAAACCTTGCCCAATTTACATTGCCACCATAAATGATAACACGCTGAGTTTATCACAACCCCTCCAACAATGGGGAGATATGGAAAGAAGCATTTCTGACACCTGGAAATGAGGAGGATGTCTTCCTTGTGCATTATTTTTCCTAAGGAAACTAGATACAGATTTCAAGGGTTGGAATTCCTATATTTCATTCCAACCTCCAGGAAAAAATTGTGTGCCGGTATCTGTTTCCTATGATGCGGGTGGCGCTGTGGGTTAAACCACAAGGCCTAGGACTTGCTGATCAGAAGGTCAGCGGTTCGAATCCCTGTAACGGGGTGAGCTCCTGTTGCTCGGTCCCTGCTCCTGCCCACCTAGCAGTTCGAAAGCACCTCAAAGTGCAAGTAGATAAATAGGTACCGCTCCGGCGGGAAGGTAAACGGCGTTTCCGTGCGCTGCTCTGGTTCGCCAGAAGCGGCTCAGTCATGCTGGCCACATGACCCGCAAGCTGTACGCCAGCTCCCTCGGCCAGTAAAGCGAGATGAGCGCCACAACCCCAGAGTCGGTCACGACTGGACCTAATGGTCAGGGGTCCCTTTACCTTTCATCTGTTTCCTATATCCTTTTAAGGGGTTCCATAATATCTGCAAGTTATATTAACTTTGGGCCCCTGCGGCTTGATGGAGGTAGAAACTGTCTCTCCTGCCTTGTTACGCTGCCGTTTCTACGGGGATATACGCTCGGTATTTATTACCCCTGCTATGCAAAAATCTCCAAATGAATCTGAACTTCAATGTCTAAAATCCCTGGTAGAGGACAAGGATCCTGAGATCATGTTGAGGGTAGCCAAATTCTGTGCGATTGCCATAAAACTTAGGGAACAAGCTGTGCTATCATAATGATTAAGGCCTTAAATGATAATTTTAGGTTATATATTAGTGACTAAGTTTTAATTTATATATATTTTTAAACTTGCTACATGTGTATTGTCTATGTTATACCGAATTGCAAATTCAAATGTATCCCTATCGTGTTTTGTGACTTCCTTGAAATTGTATGTGGGCTGGAACTGGTCTGTGACCGAAATAATAAAATTCATTCATTCATAACTTTGGCTGATTGACATCCAATGCCCTTTTTAAAATGTGTTGTAGAAGGGGAGGATTATTGGGTTGTTCTTGTTTTTATTATGTATTGTGTGATTTTATATTGTGATTTTTAACGATTGACGCTTTATTATGTTTTTATATTCTGCTGGAAGATGCTCAGAGTGGCTGAGGAAACCCAGCCAGATGGGCGGGGTGTAAATAATGCAAATTTATACTTTATATTATTTTATATTTTCTGATCTGCCCCAAGACCTGTGGGGACAAGGCAGAATACATGTGCAATAAATAGATAAATAATAAATAATAACAATCAATTGTGCAGAGTACCATCTGGGGCGCTTGGGCTGCCTCCTTGAAATACCCTCGCGCAGCCGCCCCCTCGCAGCTGACCGCACCCTGCTGTTTCGCTGCATCCGATCCGGCCAATCTGGGATCTGCCCAGATGGTCCATTTGCCGATGAGGGCGGCTAACTTCATTAGCCGTCCGGAATTAGAATCCTTTTAGGGCGCGGGGGCCGGGGTGGGCGGCCGCTCTGACAGGCTTAGGGCGAGTGAGTGCCGCGGCCTCTGGGCAGAAGGCAAGAGGGGAGCTACTCTCTGTTAGCAGCAATAACAATAAAAAGGCAAAATACTATTATTGATTTATTGCTGTAACGTCACAGAGCACAGGTTGCAACTTTAAAACACAATACCCAAAACAATTTGAAAGCACTTGCCTTGTTTACCTATGAGATTGACTTGAGCCCATTTGATCACTCTGATCGGGGAAGTTGGCGCTGCCAGGTCACACCCGTTCTGCCCTTGTAAGAACTCGGCTGCTTAGCGTGGCAGCGTTTGCACCTGGGAACGCCCTGCCTCTTGATATCAAGCACCTGCTAAGAACAATTTTGTTCGGGCAAACCTGCCCATATGCTTAGGAAGTTAGGGTAATTCTAACCTGTTTGAGTATTTTACCTTTTGTATGCTTTGAAGTAGGCTTGCAAATCTTTCTTGGTTTTCTTATTTTGTCATCTTGTAAACCACTCTGACGTTTTTGACATCAACTGGTAATAATTTTATTAAATAAAAAATAAATGCTACCTTCTTCAGACTCTGCTTGGAGTCCTGGGGTAAGTCCAGTTCTGGGCACCCCAATTTAAAAAGGATGTTGACAAGCTGGAAGGTGGGCAGAGCGACCAGGATGAGCAAGGACATAGAAACCAAGCCTTATGAGGAGCGGTTGAGGGAGTTGGGTATGTTTAGCCTGGATAAGAGGAGATTGAGAGGAGAAAGGATAGCCATTTTCAAATATCTTCAGGATATTCAAATCTCTCACATAGAAGATGTAGCAACCTTGTTTTCTCCTCTGAAGGGTAGGACTTGAACCCGTGGCTCCAAGTTCCAAGAAAGGAGATTCCGACTCAACATCAGGAAGAACTTTCTGACAATAAGAGCTGTTCAACGGTGGAACAGCCTCCCTTCAGAAGGTGGTGGACTCTCCATCCTTGGAGGTTTTTAAGCAGAGATTGGATGGTCACCTGTCCTGGACACTTTAGCTGAGATTCCTGCATTGCAGCGGGTTGAACTAGATGACCCTGGGGTCCCTTCGAACTCTACAACTCTATGATAAATTGTGCCACTAACTCACATGAGTTTTTAAAGCCCTGAAGAATTCAGGCCCCACATAGAGGGAGGGCCGCCTCCTTCCCCACAGTCCCCATTGAGTATTGAGATCGGCAGGCGGTGCCTTCCTGGTAGTTTCTCCCCCTGCAGATTCTCAGCGGCTGAGGGAAAGAGGGCCTTCTCTGTGGTGGCCCCTAAGCTAGGCAACTCTCACCCCAAAGAGGTGCACCATGCTGAATGCCTTTCTACTCAGGCTCGCAACATTCAGGGTACGTATTTTAGGACCGACTTGATTTTTGTGATTGTAAACTCATGGAAACAGAGAACTATTGGAAGGGACCCTGAGGGTCATCCAGCCCAACCCGCTGCTGCAATGCAGGAATCTCAGCTGAAGCATCCTGGACAGATGACTGAGGATGGAGAGTCCACAACTTCCAGAGAGAGTCTGTTCCACCGTCAAACAGCTCTTGCTGTAGGTTCTTCCTGATGTTGAGTCAGACAAAAAACAAAAAAACAGCTTAAAATACAGTATAAAACATGAATAACAATAAATTCAGAATTCAAAAATCAATTTAGGAGGAAATCCATCCAATAAACATTAGGTGATCACCAGGGCTAGCTGGCTAAATTAGTCCTATTTGCGCCAGCGAGGAGAACAGGGGAGAATTAGCTGTGGGATCCCAGAGCGGGTAATCTTCATAAAAAGGGGAGAAGGAGGGAAGGAAGGGGAATAAAAGATACTAGACTTCTGTGGATGCAGCTTAGAATTGGCTTTTCTTGCCGCTGCATCTCGCGTCGAATCTGACTATGTACTAACATGAACTTACTGGATTCTGATCCATAATTGACTTCTGACTTGCTCAATGATTGAAACGAATTATTGTGTTATACATATCTTTATGAGTTTGAGTTTGTAATCTCTGTTAGAGTTTGTAATCTCTATTTGAGTTTGTAATGCTTGTCAGAATACATACTTTTGAATGGATCAGTTTTTGTTAAAATTGACTATTGATTTGTGAGTAGGGACCACTCCCACTATGGAAACGAACATTGGCCTTGGTGTGCTTTTTTCTTGGTATATTTAATAACAAGAACTCCAACTTATTTAACGCATCTCACTGTTGGCACAGATTTCCCGGGGTTCCCTGGGAGAGCGCCTCTCTGTCGGGGAGGAGCGGGGGCCCAGATCCGCCTCCTCTATTTAGGTGTATTGGGCTTAGCGGCTGCAAAGGAGCTTATCCTTTTTGTTCTGTCAGAGGGCAAAGCCTCTTAGGGTTGGCAAGGCTGCAGCCGCAGGGGCACCACATGCCGGCCTGGGAGAGGGAGGAGGCAGAAGGGAGAGGCTTTGCGAAGGAGGAGCTGGCCTTTCCTCGTGAGGGTGAGAGGCAAAGCACCATGCTTCCTTTGATACAAAAATAAAATAAAACAAAAATCCTGCGTTAAAGAATTTAAAATTTGACGGCGGTTGTTGCCGCTTCAGGACTCTGACAAAATAATAATAATAATTTAGAAGCTGCCATAAAGCAGTTCTAGCAATAAATTAGCTGGATTCTGCAACCTGTGTGGGAAATTTGAACGCTTTTTATTCTGCTTGCGGAATAGGGACAGGAGGAAAGGATTGTATTATTAGTTTTTTAACATATGATTTTCAACGATCATTAAACATACTTTTATATCGTATACATTTTTTTTTTACTTCCATCAATCACATCTGAAAATTTTCCAATCTTTCCCACTTAATTTACATTTCTTACTTTCACTATTACATTTAAGTATCATAACTAATGTCTCTCTGCTTTCTCTTCTTTGCAGTGTTTCATATATTCCTCCTTACAAAACTTCTTGTAGTCCTACTAGCGTAATTTGTTGATTGCAGTTGCTCTTCAAATAGTTAGGAGGAAAGAATTGTATTCACCTTCCTCCTCTGGTTACAAGCAGATGGCGTTGGCTGCATGTTTCCGGTGTCTGCTTCCAGTCATAAGGTCTAGAAACTTGCTTTGAAATTCAGTTTTTGCAGGATTATGGTGTACGCACAGCCACAACACCAAGCCTGTTTCCACCTGTTGATGTGGATTTAGGTTGAGTTCAGTCGCAGGCCTATTCTCTGCATAGACCCCACAGCAAGAGGAATGAGAGATGGGCGAATCTGGCAATTCTGATGTCTCTCATTTTCTCATTTCTCACTCAGCTCACCCCATTTCAGCATCGTAGAATGGTAAGAGGTGGAAGGGACCCCCGAAGGTCATCCATTCCAACCCCCTGCAATGCAGGAATTGCAAACAAAGCATCTATCAATTTGCAATTACTATTATTTGTTTAAGTCCCTTGTGGGAATTCATCAGCAACATACATTTTTCCTACTGTACTCAATTTATACATGCACTTTTTAAAAACAAATCAGTGAAATCTGACCTGCACCAAATTTCTCCCCCCCCCCATGAAAAGAAAAGCGGAGCAGCTTTCGAACCCTGCACCTGCCTATGGGGCAGGCCTGAACCCTTTGGCCCACCTGCCCTCCTAACTGTGACGACCCTTCTCTCCCGCAGACTACCTCTGCACCCCGGAGGAGAACGTCTACAAGATAGATTTCACCCGGTTCAAAATCCGAGACATGGAGTCGGGCACGGTGCTGTTTGAAATCACCAAGCCGCCGGCTTCAGGTAAGTTCCTGGTCCTCATTATTCTGATGGAAGGGACTGCTTTGAACAGGAAGCTGCCTTACAACCGAAGCTGACCATTGGTCCATCTGCCTCAGTATTGTCTGCACTGGCCGGCAGCAGCTCTCCAGGGATTCAGGCAGACAGGCTTTCCCCCCAGACTTACCTTGAGATGCCCCTGGGGTTTAAACCTGGGGCCTTCTGCATGCAAAGCTGTTGCAAGGCTCTAGTCCTCATGGTCCTGCTTTAAACAGGAGCCTCGTACTGTGTCTGCTCAGTGGCAAGGGGTCTACAGAGTTTCTGGCTGGATGTCATTCCCAACCCTACCAGGGATCGAGCTTGGGACCTTCTGCATGCCAAGCAGGGGCTCTTCCTCTGAACCACACCCCTTCCCAGAGGTCTGGATGCTTTCTCGCTTTGTCACAGATTTCTAGCATTTTGTTTTAGTGCTTTTTGCTGTTGTTAAACCATGGAACTCCCTGCCACAGGAGACAGGATCCCCTTGAAGAGCCCTCTGGTGTGAGACCCTTAGATACATCAGAGAAGGATCAGCACCCGCCTTGTCTTCAAGAATGGCGGTACCAAAAGATCCAGGTTCGGAACACGGGTCTGTGGTCTCCGGTCTCCGAGCCACTGTGTTCCTAAGGATTCAGGGGGTTTCCTCATGAGGAAGCAATCCCTGGATCTCCTTCACAGCCGCCATTGGTGGTCCAGGTGTGGTTTAGGAGGACAGCGTATCTAAGGCAGCAGTTCTCCACCTGTGGGTCCCCAGATGTTGTTGGACTACAACTCCCATCATCCCTGAGTTCCGGCCTTGCTAGCTAGGGGTGATGGGAGTTGTAGTTCAACAACATCTGGGGACCCACAGGTTGAGAAAGGCTGTGATGGACCCCCTTGGCTTGGTCCAGCCAGACTCTCCCCTCCATCTCCTCCGAGAACTCCTCCTTAGAGAACTCGCTTTTGCTTTCAAGAGTCAAGTTCCTCGTCTTCATGATTCTGTGGGAGGGAACAGGGTGCTGGACTAGACAGGCCGGCAGGCTCTTCTTGCATTGGGATACCTGCCCTGTAGCTTTCATTTTCTCTCTCTTCTCCTTCCAGAGCGAGAGCACAGTGACAAGAAGGACGTCGACCCCAACGCCGGGCGCTTTGTGCGCTACCAATTCACACCGGCGTTTCTGCGGCTGCGTCAGGTTGGGGCCACGTAAGTGACCTGGCAAGGCCTTCGCTTGGATGCAGAAACCTTCCCTCTTCCATGTCTGTTTGAATAAAAGCACCTTATAGTCCAGGCAGGGGCAGCCTCCAGCTCAGGGTCCAAATGCTGCCTGGAGCTGATGGAAATTATAGTCTGCAACATCTGGATGGCACCCGGCTGGGGAAGGCTGGTCCACACAGGCTGGCAGCAGCTCTCTTAGCATTTCAGACCAGGGATATGCCCAGCCCTAATGGGAGATGCCACCTGGGGCCTTCTGCATGCCAAGCAGGTGTTCTGTACCCATGAACTGTGCCAGGGGCTCTGCCACTTCGCGAAAGCCCTTCTCTGAAAGATCAATATTCTAGTCCTCATGGTTCTGAGTTCAGAGCTGGTTTAAGGGTCGCAGGAAGTTGCCTTAGACTGAGTCAGACCATTGGTCTGCCTAGCTCAGTGATGCCTACACTGACTGGCAGCCACTCTCCAGGGTTTCAGGCAAGAGTCTTGCTCTGCCCAACATTGGGGAATGAACCCGGGGCCTTCTGCAAGCAAGACAGCTGCTCTGCCACTGAGCTGTGTACTTCCCCTCTCTTTGAGAGTAAAAAAAAGTGACTCCTCGCTGAGAAATTGTCTCCCACTTTTTCACAGAATCATATAATTGTTGAAAGGGGCCCTTAAGGTTTCATCTAGTCCACCCCGCTTCAGGGCAGGAATCGCAGTCTGCTAACGTTCTGTTCTGATAGTTTTATGACATCCGCTGTTTTGAAAAGTCTGCCTTCCGCCGCTACGTTCTGCAGGGACCTCAGCTTTCTCTTCCCCCCTCTCAGGGTGGAGTTCACCGTGGGCGACAAGCCCATCAATAACTTCCGCATGATTGAGAGGCATTACTTCCGGGACCAGCTGCTGAAGAGCTTCGATTTCGAGTTCGGCTTCTGCATCCCCAGCAGCAAGAACACCTGCGAGCACATCTACGAGTTCCCCCAGCTCTCCGAAGACCTCAGTAAGCGGCTGCCAACGGGGGGGGGGGAGGGGGGACAGTAGGGCAGCAGGGGCCGGGGGGGGGGGCCGACCTCCGGAAGTTGTTGGACCCCACCTCCCAGCAGGCATTGCTTGGGAATGCTAAAAACTCACAAAGACCAGCCCGGGTACGAAAGCTTCCTTCCGCCATCTTGATTCAAAATGTCATCTGATTGTACCAACCTGCTCCATTTTGGGCAAGGTCACTATTGGCAAATCATTTTATCCATCTGTATTATTATTCTTATTCTTATTCTTATTAATAATAATAATAATATCCCACCTTTTGCCCAAGGCTTCTGCCAATTAAAACAACAGCGACGCAAAAAGCTAAAAGCATACAGAATCATTAATCAAACTCTAACAGAAATGAAACAATATACAAAACTGATTTATTAAAATATGGGTAATATAAGCAGCACAGGGCTGTTTAAAAGCCCTTTCCTTAAAAAAACAAACCACAACAACAACAACAACAGCCAGTCAGTCCCCAAAAGCCTGTTGGAATAGAGCGATCTTCTCCTGCTGGCAAAAGAAGCGGGGAATCTGGTTTCTCCAGTGGGCCTGTGAGGGTGGTGGGACCTAGGGAAGAGACTCCCCCTGGGCTGGGCATCTTTGTTTGGGGCGTTGCAGTCCACCCTATAGCCAGGCTGTCGGCTGTGAGCCTCTTTCTTTCCCCTTCCTCCTTTGCAGTTCAGGAGATGATCCTGCACCCCTACGAGACCCAGTCAGACAGTTTCTACTTTGTGGATAGCAAGCTGGTCATGCACAACAAAGCGGATTATTCCTACAGCGGGGGACCCTGACGCGGAACCGCCAGGCGCCTTCCCCGCAAATTCCTGTAGAAATGGGTTCGGGTTTCCGCCGGCCGGCGTTGGCATGGAGAGCCAGGATCCGAGGACCCTGCCAGGAGCTGGAGTTTCGGGACTAAAATTAGCTGAAGTCGTTAACTGTTCCTTGAGCTGTCGAGGCAGCCCCCCCTGCCCACCCCCTCTCCCAGGGAGAGCCTCTTCACACCACTGAGTAACCCCGTAGTTGTGGCTTGAAATAGCTCCACGTAGTTAACTCCAGGCCAACGAGGTCTGCGTTTCATGCCGGCTATGGTGTGTGTGTGTGTGTGTGTGTGTCTTTGTCTTTGGCCCAGGGGTTTGTGGAAAACCCACCCCAGACGCTCTCTCCAAGAGAGTGGCGTCCTCGATGAACCCCTTTTTCTCGGAACTGGTGGCAGGCGGATGCGAACTCTGAGACATGCACCTTCCCTCTGGTCTGACGAAGGACCTGTGTGGTCCTCGGGGCAGAGTCCTAGCCTCCTGTTCCCATTTCCTTTGCCCTTTCAGTGTTCTGAGAAGCGGAAGCAAATCAGGACAACGTTTAGATAGGTGTGTGTTTTTTTTAAAGAGGGGTCTTGCTGTGGGAGCCTCTGGCACTTGCAAAGGGCGGCAACTGTGCGTCTCAGGCTGGGTGGGAGCCCAGATCCCAGAACACCTCATTCAGCCCAATCCCAGGGTCTCCTGGGTGCCCCACCCTTTGCCATCTCTCTTGGGGGGATCCTGGAGGCTTGTCACAGAAACGGGCCACTGGGGTCTATTACTCCCATTGTCATACTTCCCCACCCCAAGCCCAGCAAATCTCTGCATTCCAATGTCTGGTGTCATTTGCACTTAGAAAGATAGCTGTGGGTATATTAGACCAGATGGGGTATTCCTCTTCTGCCAGGCCTCTTCCATCTTCCGTGCAAATCCTGGAGAGGTGGGGGTCTCCAGCCCTTTTGTCCTCAGCCCCTTCCGCAGACACCTCTTCCTTCCCATACAGAACTGGCCGACTGAACCCCAACTCCTTACCCCAAACCCAACTTCTTTGTTAAAGGAGAGCCACTCAGACCAGAATCCTATAGACATTCCAGCCAGGGGGGCTTTTTTGGGGGGGGAGAGTAGCCTGCCCTGTTAATGGGGATTTGGGGAATGGGATTTTCTTATTTTAAGCACTCTCTCTCTCTCTGTGTGTGTGTGACTTATTTATTTCTTTTGGCTTCGTCTCCGTGTGAATCACCTGGGAAACGTCCCTTCTCCGAAGATGCGCAAGCCCAAAGGTCAGGGGTCGGAAGCGACTTAGGATGCTGGGTGCCTGTGTGGGGCTCAAGCTCTCCGTGGGCATTTGACTCTCCAGAACGTCCAAGGAGAGGAAGGCGGGGGGGGGGAGTCTTCCCCGTTGGGGGGCTCAGAAGCCGAAAATGCAACCAGTCTTTGGGTGGGAGACAAGGAGTCCCCTTTATTCCTGGCGTAATCGTGGAGCCTCCAGGCCACTGGTGTTTGGCCATTCTGTAGGGAGCTCTTTAAATACTAAGCGTGAGTTAATCGAAACAGCCATGTGCCGGCCTCCAAAAAGGGGGACTTTACCGGACAGCAGATTAAGTCCTGTTTCTCACTCCCTCTCGGGACGCATCCTTGTTGAAGCAAGAAGTCCAAACGGAAAAGGCAGAGAGTCTCGTGGCGCTTTGCGTTGTGTTCTCCTGAAAGTTATGCAGGCATCACTGGGCCAACGGGGGGGTGTGAACTGAGGGGGGTTTGGCAATTCAGAGCAGGAGGTGGGTGGGAAAGCTCCCCCCCCTCTCTGTGTGTGCGTGCATCATCTCCTGGTTGAGTTGCTTTCCCTAATTTTGACCAGTCACATGAATTCCATTTTTCTATTTTCAAGCCTAAGTATGGACCAGGGGCAGAACTTGAGCTGCGACGGTGCTCTTGTTTTATTTCCGTTCTTCCCTAACTGAAACGTCAAAATGAAAAGGCAGAAGAAGAGATGGCAGAACCCGTTTCTGGGGCTCAACCCAAGCGGTTTGCCATTAGCAATGATCACGACAGCATCTTGCAGCTTGCGGGGCATGGATAATTGTGCAAGACTTTTAAGCGCTCAAGGGTGATCCTTCTTGGCACCTGTCAGTTAAGAAAAAGACAATCTCCTTATGGAAGATCGGAGGAATTACCTTGTAGCCGAACGGAGGCACGCAAAAGACTCTGTCTTCAGCAAGGATGGGGCAAGCAAGAGGCGCCATATGGGGACTGCTTCTCTACGCAGAGGCCGTGGCTCTGCTGGCAGTTCTCCTTGGCTGCAGAATTGCCGCGGTTTATTTTTTTATAGCGTTAAAAATTAGGTTGGCTGTGTTGCAAGCAGCACGATTCTCTGTCGTCGGAGGAAAATGATTCACACTGGGCAGAGTTCTTTCCTCCCCACCTCTTTTCTTTGGGGGAAGGGTGGCAGGAGCAGCACAAAAGTCCCGGGTTCAAACTCCCAGGATGAGACCTGCAGAGCCATAGCTGCCTGTCAGTGGGGGCGATACTGACCCGCAGTCTCACTTGGCAAACGGGCGGCTGCTCATGTTCCTCACTTCACTCACGACCATGATGACTAGAATCTTTATTTTGAAAAGAAGGGCTCTAGTGGTCGAGTGCCTGCTTTGGATGCAGAAGGTCCTGGGTTCAATTCTAGGGGCATCTCCCGGTAGGCCTGTCTGAAACCCTGGAGAGCTGCTGCTGCCGCCAGTCAGTGCAGGCAATACTGAGCTAGATGGGCCTGGCTCTGCACAAGACAGCTTCCTCCATTCCCACCGTTGGGGTGGTAAGAGGCTCATGATATCCCCCCTCCAGCCTGGTTTCTGGGATTTCTAGGGAGAAAAGGGGGTCTGCAGGATTTCTTACAGAAATGGCTGCATTCTCCATTCTGTGCCCTTCTATAGTTCTGGTCGCCTTTTTCACAAATGGAAAGCTATGTAGAATAATGGAATTGTAGGGTTGGGAAGGACCCAAAGGTTGTCTCGTCCAGCTCCCCACAGTGTAGGGATCCCGCCCGCAGCCATCTCTGGGTGGGCTCGAACCACTGACCCCCCTGGTGAAGAGCCAGGCCTATTGGTGAGAAGTGCTTTTAAGACACGAGGCTGGGAGGGAGAGGAGGAGTCTGAAAAGCTCTGCCTGGGGGCAGCCAGGTGGGACCCCAGCCTCCCAAAGGAGTGGGGGAACACTCAAAATTGCAGCCTCGCTGGTCGGACGGGGGGGATCAATGGTCTGATTCATTCATCTCGCTCTGCTCACGTCCTCCCACTCCGTCCGAGGGAAGGCGCCCACAAAAGCTCCTGTAGTAATAATAAGAAGAAATCTCTTCAGGCGCCACAAGACTTCCACAGAGCCACGAAATGGACATATTAAATGCACAGAAGCTTTTCATTGATTGGGCTTTGGGGAGATAGATTTTTAGCATCACCTGGCAAAACGCTCTTAAGAAGTGTTTTGATTTTCTTTTTTGTGTGTGTCTCTTTTGAGTTGTGGGTGTGTGCGTTCGCATGACCCATCTGCTGTGTTAATAATATTTGAATGCAACGATTTAGCTGCAATTCCTGCATCGCAGTGGGTTGGGCTAGATGTCCTTTGGGGTCCCCTCCAAGTCTACAGTTCTCCGATTCAGTCACTGGGAATCAAGTTCCGGATGTGACACGTTGAGCTGCAGTGCATCATTTGACAGGTAGACGTTAGGATTCCTCCTTGGGGACACAGTAGCAATGTCCACCATATCAGTTCCTCTCTTGCTTAGCTACCAGACTCTTATCAGATTTCCTAGGAACATGCAACGCGAGCTGCCAGAGCGCTGAGTGGTCTGCAATTCTGAATTTGGACCAAGAGCATTGGGTAATTATTCCAGGGAAAATAAAATAGGATTTATAATAGCCAGGTCTTCCTTGTAGGAATCGGAGGTGCCTAAAAGAGATTACAGATGAGTGGAGATTTCAAAGGGCCACATATAAGAAGTGGGAGAAGGGGCAAACCACGAAGGAAGGGTATAAGTGAGTAACCAACTCTTGCAGGGAGAAGGTCAGGTGGACCCAAGCTCTGAAGGAGCTCCGGCTTGCAGGAGAGGTCATAAATTTAAAAGGTTTTCCCCACTGGCTTTATTCAAAGCAAGAGGGAGAATAAGCAAGGAGTAGGTCCCCTTTGGGGGTGGAAAATGGAGAATTGCTTTTGGGTGACAGGGAGAAGGCAGAGCTGCTTGGTCATCTGCGGCCAGCCTCCAGACATGGCTGGGCTCCCATCAGCCAGCATGACCAATGGTTAGGGATGTGCAGCCCACAAATATTGAGAAGGCATCATGGATGCACCTCATCCTTGGGCAAAAGGGGAATTATTTCAAAACCGTTTTGCGTTTCCACTTACAGATTATAGGGTGTGCTTTTTCCGGGTGGGACGGGAAAGGACTTTGGAAAAAAAGCAAACTTTCCCTGGAGCAAATGTTTGCTCTCCTGTAAAACTGTAAAAATGATAAATCGCCCATCAGTGGCACAAACATCCCTCTCCAAACACTTGAAAGTAAACCAGTGATCAAAAATAAACGAGCTGGTGTTTTCTTTGCCTGTTTTTCACTCTCCTTTATTTGAGGACGTCTCTAGAGGATGTGTGGTGCCGTGGTTAGAGTGTGAGGACCTGGGACCTGGGAGAGACCAGGGTTCAAATGGACAAAATCAGGGCAGTGGGGCAAATCTCTTCCCTCTGCAGCAGGCAGGGGGAGCCCTTTCCAGCTGGTGGGCCACATTCCCTCATCAGAAACCTCCTCAGGGCCACATGCTGGTGGGGCGGAGCCAGAGGCAAAGGTGGGCGGAGCCAAGGCTGCATGAAGTCCGTAGCAGGTGACACAGCAGCCCTTTGAAACTCCCAGATTTCTATATGTACACGAACACACAGAGACATATATAAGAACGTCACATGATCCCCGAAACAGCTGGATGAACCAAAGCACAATTCAGTGTTGGTGCTGACCTTTAAAGCCCTAAATGGCCTCAGTCCAGTATACCTGAAGGAGCGTCTCCACCTTCATCGTTCTGCCCAGACACAGGTCCAGCGCCGAGGGCCTTCTGGCGGTTCCCTCGCTGCGAGAAGCCAAGTTACAGGGAACCAGGCAGAGGGCCTTCTCGGTGGTGGCACCCACCCTGTGGAACACCCATCAGATGTCAAGGAAATAAACAACTATCTGACTTTTAGAAGACATCTGAAGGCAGCCTTGTTTAGGGAAGCTTTTACTGTTTGATAGGTTATTGTATTTTAATATTCTGTTGGAAGCCGCCCAGAGTGGCTGGGGAAACCCAGCCAGATGGGTGGGTTATAAATAAATTATTATTATTATTATTATTATTATGGCGGCCTGCCTAGTGCAGCATCCTGTTCTCGCAGTGGTCAACCTCATGCCCCAAAGGGAATTCTGCAAATGGGATCTGAGTGCAACATCAAGTCTCCAGTTGTTCCCCATTGCCTGGTATTGAGAGGTAGACTGCTGCTGGGCTTGGAGGTTCTGCTGTCACAATAGACCTCCACAGTGCTTTTTTTTCTAAAGAAGAATGTTTAGGGGTACTCTCATTTTCCTACTCATATTGAAATGCTGCCCCTCAGTGAGGCCAAACTTGAATGCACAAACTGTTGAGGGATATGCGTACCCCCAGGAAAAAAGCGCTGGGCCTCCGTATGAGGAGCCTGCTGGATCATGGCCATCTGACTTTTGTTTAAAAACCTCAAATGAATGAATGGTTGGAGGGAAAGGGGGGGTCCCACTGAGCAGTGCCCTCCTTGAAAGAGTCTTGCTTGGGTCTTGCTCTGAAAGGAGTCTTGGGGAAGAATAAGATAGCTACCTGGATAAACTTCAGGGGGTTAGGGCCATCACAAAACCATTTGGGCGAGTGCCCATCTTTCTGTGGGCAGAAATGCAGCCTTTGCAGGCATCGTGGAAAATGTGCAGCCGTGGAGCGACACAGCCCGACTTTCGCAAGAACCGATTTGACCTGGGGCTGACACCGCATCCCTTGAACAGGGGTAGGCAACCTAAGGCCCGTGGGCTGGATGCGGCCCAATCGCCTTCTCAATCCGGCCCACGGATGGTCTGGGAATCAGAATGTTTTTTACATGAATAGAATGTGTCCTTTTCTTTAAAAAGCATCTCTGGGTTATTTGTGGGGCCTAGGAATTCTTTCTCCCTCCCCCCAAATATGGTCCGGCCCACCACATGGTCTGAGGGACGGTGGACCGGCCCACGGCTGAAAAAGGTTGCTGACCTTGAACCACAAAACCTCCATGTGTGGTCTCGGGCTCGGCTAGACGTCTCTCCATCTTGGCCTTGCCAATCCCTATCTGTAAAATGGGCGTATGAGTGAGCTAACTCTCACAGGTCTTATCGCTGCCTATCGTAGAATTGCAACACAGCAATCCCAGCTAATGAATCCTTGACAAATGGCCACCTAAGTCTGTTTAAAGACCTCCAGCGAACCGATGAATCAAAGGAGATTCTGACTCAACCTTAGGGAGAACTTCTTGCTGATAAGAACTGTTCAGCAGTGGAATGGGCCACCTCAGAAGGCGGCAGACACCTTCGTTGGAGGTTTTTAAAGAGGCCGGTTGGCCATCTGTCAGGATTTCCTTTGTTGTGATTGCTGCAGTGCAGGGGGTTGGACTAAATGACCCCCCGGTGTCCCCGCTCTATAATTCCCGTGCACCAAAGCTCTCTCCCCTCCTGTTGTGCCCGGCATCTGGTGACCATGGAGGCTGGGCACAGAGCCATCTCTGTGCCAGGCAAACACCTTCCTTTACTCCCATGCCTGGGGCTAATTAAACCATCTATGTGTGTGTCTGGCATTGCTTTTGTTTGTTACTATGGTATGTTTTGTATTTTCATTTTATAAACCACCCTGTGATCCTTGGATAAAGGGCAGTACAGTGGTACCTTGATTTATGAACTTAATCCGTTCTGGAGGTCCGTTCTTAAACCGAAACCGTTCTTAAACCGAGGCGTGGCTTTCCCTAATGAGGCCTCCCTCTGCCAGTGCCCTTCCACCATTCGGCTTTCATTCTTAGACTGAGGTAAAGTTTGCAAACCAGGACACTACTTCCGGTTTTGTGGAGTTTGCAAACCGAATCGTTCTTAAACTGGACTGTTCTTAAGCCGAGGTACCACTGTACAGTGGTACCTCGGGGTACAGACGCTTCAGGTTACATACGCTTCAGGTTACAGACTCCGCTAACCCAGAAATAGTACCTTGGGTTAAGAACTTTGCTTCAGGATGAGAACAGAAATTGTGCTCCGGCGGCACAGTGGCGGCAGCAGGAGGCCCCATTAGCTAAAGTGGTACCTCAGGTTAAGAACAGCTTCGGGTTAAGAACGGACCTCCAGAATGAATTAAGTTCTTAACCTGAGGTACCACTGGATAGAATTATCATCATCATCATCATCATTAAATGTCAGGGGCTGAGGCGTTTTTGTGCATTCTTCGCCAGCCTGGGTTGCCTGCCAGATGTGTTTTGGCAAAGGGTGCATCCCAAACAGAGGAAACAGCAGAGAGGCCTCTGAGCAGGCTGCCTGCCTGAATCTGTTTTGCCTGGGCTGCCGAATGGGAGGCCCAGTGAATCACCAAAAGCTAGAAAAGGCATGTTTTGCAGGTGGGTGTGCTGGGCACTGGGGCTGGCTGGCATTGCACAAGGACGGAGGGCTGACAAAGCAAGTCATGTGTGCCCTGATGAGGGAAACGGTTGGGCAACCCCGTTCACACAAACCGGCAGGAAGAAGAAGATTTGCTTATATATGTCTCTCTTCCCCCCAAGAAGCGCAAAGTTCTTCAGCAAGGACCAGGATGTACCAAATCAGGGCTGGATTCCGTGTTTGCAACATGGCAAAAGCATATGCACCGTCTGGGGTTCCTTTTTGCCATGGACCAATGCTCAGTGCGAAAATGTGCAGAAAGGAAAAGGCGCAGGCCCAGCCCTCTGGAATTCACTTGAAAACCATCACTTGTGGTGCTGGACTTCCATTTGGTGCTGGCGACGCGCAGGCAGCTCTTTCCAAACAATTTAATTCGCTTTTAATTTGAAATATGCCCCTACCCAATGCTATGAGCATGCACGTCCCGTGCCTGCGAGTTTCTCTTCTGCCAATTGTGTCACATACGAATGCAAGGCAGAACGAAGGGAAACAATTGAATTGCGGGGGGTTCCTTCCAACTCCACAAGTATAAGATGTTATGAGGTCAGCTACTAGAGAGAGACGCTTTTGGGTATTGGCAGCCCCAGGGGGTCTTCCAAGTGCCTCTACAACGACCTTCATAGGCGTCAGGTGAAGACTTCACCAGTCGTAAATATTTTCCACTGCTTTTTAAATTCGTTGCCATTCACTGTCACTGGTTTTATTCCGTGTTAGAGTTTAGTTTTCTATTGTATTTTACGGTTTTAATTTCCCCCTTTGCAAACCACCCAGATGCTTTTGCCGTTAGTTATTTTATTTGCAATATTTATATATCACCTAAGCATTGGGACTCACTCTGGCGCATGGGGCCTGCTTCCCCCCCTGGGTTTCAAACACTCTTCCTTCTCAGTGCTGGATTTACCTATAAGCTAAACAAGCTACATACAGTGTTTTGTGTTGTGTAGGCTCCTATTTGTTATGTGCAAATGGCTTTAGATACCTATTAGGTCCATAAGTTACCATGTATATAGCATATATTCAACACAAAAAACAGCAACAATTTCTTGTTGATAAAGGACAGCCAGACATATAACGGGCCCCATTACCTTCCATAGCTTAGGGCCTAATCAAACCTAAATCTGGCCCTGTTCCTTCTATCAGGAAGCTCAGGTGATGATTGCCAACAGATTGAGGTCCTAAAAATGTAAGAAAGTGCCTGGCTCTTGCATCAGCATCCCATCTATCCCGGCCTCCTGTCCTCACGGCGGCCAATCAGAGCCCCCCAAGGGAAGCCCCAAAGCACAACCTGAGCCCGACAGCAGCAACCTTCGATCTGTTCCGCACCCTCTGGTATCCACAGGTAGACTGTCCCTGGTCATGGAGGTTCTGCTATCAGACTAGACCTCCCTAAGGAAAGCCTGGCTGCATCAGGCCAAAAGGGGCCCGCCTAGTCCAGCCTCCTCTTCCCACAGCGGAAATCCATGCGCAGGACTTGGGCGCAACATCCACCGGAAGCCCTTGACTCTGCAAGTGTGTGTGTGTGTGTGTGTGTGTGTGTGTGTGTGTGTGTGCAAGGGGGCTGGCTGGCTGTTAATCAATAAGCAAGTGTGACTGTTGCATTTTTATACCCTTAAACCGCCCTGTGGTCTTCGGATGAAGGGGGGCATACAAATTTAATAAATAATAATAATTAAGGATTATTTACTTTTGTGCGAAGGCGGAGAGGGAGCACCAGCTCTCAGGGAGCATCGGCTCTTGCCACACACCCCGTTGCGTAACCCTGTGTTGCAACGCTGCTTGCTCATTGCCGGAGATTTCTCCACCAGCTGCTTCGGAGGTCACCAGCCCTTTCTCCCCCTTTTATCTCCTCCCCGCCCTCCATGCTTTGCCAGGCGACCCATAAATACCCCTCCCTTGGGCGGAGAGGGAGGCTCAGAACATCTGCATCTCTGGCAAGCCTCTGTCTCTTTAAATCCCCCCTGCGGGGTGGGCAGGCAACAAGAGAGCCATGTCTGTATCTGTGGGAAACTTGGGAAGGCGGAGATCACTTGATGGCAGGCATGGCCCACGGGAGCCACTAGGGGGAGGCAAAGAGCCACTGGCTTGATGGCAGAAAGTGAGGAGGAATTAAAGAACCTTTTAATGAGGGTGAAAGAGGAGAGCGCAAAATATGGTCTGAAGCTCAACATCAAAAAAATGAAGATCATGGCTGCTGGTTCCATCACCTCCTGACAAATAGAAGGGGA